AACAACAAAAAGACAAACCTTTAGGCCTAGCGATTTAAATTCACTAACAGCTCTGCCGTCACACTGGCAACCACAACGCTCACCTGCATAATAATGAGTTCGAGACAACTGCCACAACCAAAGACACCTTTAGATTGGTCGATAAACGCATAATTTGCATACAGTGTACCAACTATCCTAAGAAAAAGTTCGCGCGCCGCGTCTGCGCATATCTGTATCGAAACCGAGGCTCTCTGCGTTGAACTTCGTTGCGCGCGCCGGTGGAGTCCACACAGCACATGCAGTATCCGGTTCGTAAGTATGACGCCCAGAGCACATGCAGATACACAACCATCGCAGATACGTCAGTTCGCGGTAAATTGTTATTTTTCTTTTGATTTTACGAGTCGAGTCATCCTGAAAGAATCTTCCACCCAAATTTGCAGCCTGAAAAGTCTGAATTTAACATACCTTCGTGTATTTTGTGTCTGAACTCCTTACTTTTAATCGTCTGATCGTATTAAGAATTGAAACTGACACATACAGCCTCGTTTTCAAACGCGGAAGTGCGCAAATCGACGCTAACAGCGTCGTATTGGGATCCCTCTATAGGCTTAACCACCGTGACAGTGATTTTGAATGCATTTGGTACATGGCAGAAGTGTTTTAGTTTAGTTTTGGCAATACAACTGTTTAAAACAAGATACTGAATCCTATTTTCAATTATTGTGTGCCAGCCAAATTTCGCAACTTCGTTTAGTTCAATCTTTTTCATAGTAGGCCTGACTGTTCTTTTTGTGTCCTTAGTTTTCATTATTGATATTGTCTGTTTAATTTGTTTTTCTTTATGCATAGCAATTCAAGAAACAAACACTTGATGACTAAGGTGTATTAATTCAGCAAAGACAAATAATTTGTGGAAGTCTTGATACCATATTTGAGAAATATGGAAGGGCTGCGTACCTTCTTCAGGGCAAGCAGATTCAGTTCTGAATTAACGCGGAAAAATCCACGTTCATTCCCCCTGGATGCAGCGTTCCAAGTTCGAATATGACGCGCTGCTCCAGCTCCTTGCGCTGTACATCGGTGTGACGCTTTCCGCAGAATGCAGACGCTTACGTCACCGGGGGAATGTGGCGGCGCGCAAAAGTGCTGCACAACAGTGAGACCAGGTGTTTGTTGGCGCACACTGCGCAAGTGTTCCGCGAAGCGGTCACCAAGGCGACACTTGGTCTCTCCGATGAACAGTTTACCACAGCGACGACATGTAATGCAATAAACCACATTACTAGTAATGCATGTATGACCCTGCGTATTCTGTAGCTACCACAGGGGCCGACGGCCGACTGGCTGTTAAATGTGTAGGGGCAGGTGTTACATCTGGCGCGCATATGCAGCAAGGTATGAGACGGAGAGAACCCCCCCCCTTTGTGTTGGTCATTGTCTCGCAGGAATCTGGGGAATTCCTTTCAGACATCTTGGGGGATGTGTTAAGTAACAATAGTCTGGAATGTGTATGACATGTTGGGGGGGTACCCCTCAGTCTCATTTCTTGCTGGGTATACCAGGGCGCTGACAACGGGAATTGCTGCCTGCTTTTGACGGCGAAACGGACTCCAACCGGAAACGTACAACCATGTCCCCGACGGAACTATCGCGCCTAAATGCGCAATTCGGGGGTTGGGGGAAAATGGAAGCTGTGGCCGCCTCCGAGTGTACGAAAATGTTTGAGAAGAACATTACGTGCCAGGATGTTCGACGGTGGTATGTGAGTACGAGGGGGACGCGATCACGTTGCTTGGCCCCGGTGGGTTTCAGAGACTTTTCGCGCGGGATTGAAGATACGGCGTTGAAGGCAGCGTCTATGATAACCGGAGGGTATTAAACCGCGCTGATGAAAGAAACCTAGCATTTCCTTCCCACGCGCAGAGAACTCTGCATGGCTACTACAAATCCTACGCAGTCGATGAAAGTGAGAGTAAGGGATGGAGTTCTTACACTTGAGGGGTTGAGACGATTGGTGAAGGAAATGCTAGGTTTCTTTCATCAGCACGGTTACCCTCCGGCTATCACAGACGCTGCCTTCAACGCCGTATCTTCGATCCCGCGCGAAACGGCTCTGAAACCCACCGGGGCCAAGCAAAGTGACTGCGTCCCCCTCGTACTCACACACCACCCTCGAAACATCCTGGTACGTAATGTTCTTCTCAAACATTTTCGTACATCGGTAATGAGGCGGCCACAGCTTCCATTTTCGCCAAACCCCCAATTTGCGCGTTTAGGTGCGATCGTTCTCCGGCCCCCGCGGTACCGGTAGCTACCTACAGAATACGCGGGGATCATGGATGCATAACTAGTGATGTGGTTTGTTGTATTACTTGTCGTCGGTGTGGTAAACTGAACATCGGAAAGACCAAGCGTCGCCTTGGTGACCGCTTCGCGGAACACTTGCGCAGTGTGTGCCAACGAACACCTGGTCTCACTGTTGTTGCGCGCCGCCACATTCCCTCGGTGACGTAAGCGTCTGCATCATGCGGAAATCGTCATCTGATGTACAGAGCAAGGACCTGGAGCAGCGCGTCATTTTTGAACTTGGAACCGGAACTCTGCATCCAGGTGGATTTTTCTCCGTTTATTCAAAACTGAATCTGCTTGCCCTGAAGAGGGTACTAAGTTACCGAAAGCTCGGCAATCACATATTTCAGAGCACTGATTTGATATTATGTTCTTGTCAATATTTCCAACCTGTTGCGTATACCGCGCGTGCATTCCAAGCCCGTTGCTCGGTTTCCAGAAACCACGCAAACGAGGATGCGGTAACGATTCCGGCTCAGTGTCTGACATTTGTAGGGGGCTTCATGCACTTAAGCAATTTTACAAGTCTCCGTATCTGCTTGAAGCTCGGAACATGTACTGAATAGGCGTGGTGAATGTCAAGGGTATTTTTGTTCCTTGGGGGAAGACTGAGAAAGAAATCATTGTCTTACTTTCAACCATGAAAACAACACTCTATGTGGGATTTATCAGGTAACACCACACGAAATACGCGCCCATAGAAAACAGTGCAAAATCGGAGCGAAATAGCGCCGCCTGTTGACTCTCTTAAAGAGGTTGGCCTCCGTTTTTTCACTGGAAATTCAAGATTATGGCCAGAAGATCACTTTTCGTTTAAAGTTCATGGGGGTTAGCCACAATCTTTTTTATTCGCCTTTGAATGAAGAAACCCCCTAAAATAGCAGTAAAACTAAGCGCTCATTTCTGAATGTAGCCGCCCGCCTCTATCCAAAATAGGCCCGCAATTTGGGGCTTTTTGTCAAAGGAATACCCTGAACTTGAAACTATCAGTCCTAAATTCGGGATTTATAGAAATATTTCTATGATGCCTCCTGATTTCGGCCTGTCTTATTGTGAAAACCTCGTGGGATCACAAAATAATTAATGATCTGGCGCGCAGAAATACAACCATTTGGTGGAATGCACCCATCAACACCTGGTAAACAGCGCCCTCTATAACGTGGATTAAACTTGCATTAGTCTCATGTTTGTATTAAAAGTTCAAACAGTAGCGTGCGTAGCACTCTTTGTCCAAAGCTGTATAACTGAAGTTTCGATGGCCAATAATCGCCTACTTTTCGTAAGGATTGCTTTTATAGTGCTTTGACCTGGAGTTATACTTGGATTCTTGACTGGTCTTGAAAGGTCTTGGCAGCTCCACAGACATATAAACGCATTGACCACCAGTCTTACGCGTATAACCGTGATTTTGAAAAGTATGGCCAAACAGTGGATGGAAAGGTGGATGACAGGCGCTCAGTGCGCATTACTCGAAAGGCACTCACATTGCCTGTGTTTGTTTACATGTGCTTCCAAATACGTTCACCTTTTTGGCTCTTTGGTACTGTTATCTCTTCGTTTCAAATAATACAACCGTATTGTTTTGAATCTCTATGGGCCAGATTAAGTAAAACGGCGGCGGCATTTACAATGAAAAAATGACTTAATAGAATTTTATGGCTGGAATTTAACTGTGCGTAAATTCCCTATGCAAAGGAGTAAACTTGCCCATAGTTTTGATTTTAGTGGGCGCCGTGCAGATCACGAAAAATGCCGTAGCTTTGATTAGGACCCAGCTGTCTATGCGTTTATATATCAGTGAGCAGCTCCCAGTAGAGAACCAGCCCGAGAATGCACAAGCGCAGGCCTTATATTGCCGCAATATGAACGCACTATGCGTGAATCTAACGCACAGCACACTGATTGGTTTAAAAATAGCCACCATTTGACAGCTTGTGACAGGGCTGCAGAATGCGCGTGTGACTATTTTTAGCTCAAAATAGTACGCAGGGCGAAAGTAGGCATGATGTTGCAATGACACTATCCCTGTACTGCATGAAGTAAATGCAACACACAGCAAAACCAGAACTGAAGAAGAGCAATCCTAAATGAAACATTTACCCTGGTAATCTTTAGCGATTGCTAATCTTGTTGATGGTTACTTTGTCTTAATGACTACTTTGCCTTAGAAAATAATTAGAAAGTAAAAAGTCTTCTTTCGTAATGTTTTTCTTCTGGTGGGAAATAATCCTCTTGCCAAGAGAAATGAAACTTATGCTCAAGGGAAAAATAAAGCAAACCGCCTGGGTTGCGAGTTAAACAGATTGGCAACGTCACTGTAGCTCACCTATTAGCTGTATACTTCTGCCAAACCTCGTTCATTACAGCGACGAAGCAAGTAACACTATCGCAAAGAAAAGAAGCTGAAGGATCAGCAAGAATGTCTGTGGATATCAAGCAACCTTGCAGCAATCCGGTATCGTAGGTACGGAGCCTCTAAAGGGACATAAAATTATGAGATTTTTTTTTATTTCGTTCCCTCGAAATATTATTTCGTTCCGTCGAAATCATTTCGTTCCCTCAAAANGTATTGATATATCATCCGCATTATTTTGTGACCGGGGTGTCTGAGGAAAGTAGTCCCAAGTCACTACGCAAACCTCTCAGCGTTGGTATGTTGATATGATCGAAAAGTTTGCACATCGTTAGACAACTCTAGCGACCACTTAGTTTGAAAGTTCAAGCCAAGTGCACGGTATAACACTAAGATTTCATAACCGCTCTGAAGACGAAATCGAACTGAAGCGCCAGACTAAGCCGGTCGGCATTTGAAAAATGGCCCAACTCATACGCGTCCATCTCAGGAAGCATACACAATGAGACAATGTCGCCGCGATATAGTCTGTATCTTCTTATCACACAATGGCAAGTGGCCAGTAAACGCACTGCTCGATCAACGCTATTGATTGCCGTATTAGTAAAATGAGAATGCTCCGTTATTCATAAGGTTTCATTCACAAACGAAACCGCAAGGCAAGAGAGCTACACATCACCGATTCTCCACAACAATTGTACACTGTGCTAATAACAATTTCGTGTGGCCCTTCTCTGCAAATGGTTTGGCTAAGACGGACATGGTGCAGTTATTGTGGTTTTGCAATGTGTTTTCCTTCATTTGTGGCGTAGGTAGCTGTCGTATAAACTGAAAAGGTAAGAATACACTGTACATTGTATTGATGTAACAACTGAATACCTGATTGAAAGAAGGGCCCAACTCCAACAAAACCTTTTTGAGTTAAAGAAAATGAATATTTTTAAAGGAGTTGCAAATAATAATTCTCCGAGGACAAAATGGTGGAGTTAGGCCTTTTTAGGAGGTATTCAATTTTCGGTCCAACTCGTTACGATTAGTGCTATGAATACCATAGCATAATTATGATGATGCAACTTGAGGGATTATCCGACATCACAGACTTGGGAGTTTAACATCAATTGCACGAGCTTGTTCCCTAGAATTTTTGCTTGTAGAAAATATTTATTCGCTAAATATGACATTTAAAAGCCCTTTCCTTTCTTAACATCAGGCAATTTTACTGTGTGCATTGGTCCATTACCTTGTGTAGTACCGCTATATACATCGTCCATTTTTGATAGTTGGACAAAAACAGACATGCGTGACCTAGTCTCTATTCGTGGTGTACACACTTATGCCATTATTTTCCCAGCACGTTTCCTCTTCCCTTATGCTGCTTATTATCAATGTATTTCCTTGTTGATCAATAAAACAGCAATCTCATAACAATGATATAACAAATTATAGCAGGAAATTAAATCAAGAAGAGGCATCTGTGTCGTAAAAGTACAAACCTTTTGACAGGCTTATCAATCTTAAAACACTCAGCATAATAAACATTAAGAACATGATATTACACGGCACACATAAGAGGGATGATTAATTTTAGACAGGGAGATTGTGTGAAATGATACATAATGTATGTAAAGATCAGTCCAATAAGGACGAAACTCGACAGAAGGTACAATAATTGCTGTAACAGTCACAGAGAGTCAAAACTTCCTTCCACTTGATTTGCCACACTAGGCATACACGGACTAGTAGGGGTCATTTCACTGATTTCGACTGATAGGGCAACTTCGTTAAGAATGCATCTTTTCATATAGGAAATGTTGTACATGTATGAAATTATAAGTATTATATATACAAAAGATAAAATGTTATTTTCGGTTTGAAAATACAGAATTAGTCCATCTTTTCATAATTGGTGCATACGACAGATATTTATCTTCAGAGTGGACGCTTCAAGAAATTAATAATTGATAAAATTTTAAGATCAGTTTGTGGCACTTTGGCGCACGTTAATAAGTTGCATTTGACATGACTAAAATATAAATTTTCCAGATTCTACCCCCAAATGTTCCTGTTTTAAATATGCAGCTTCAAAAATCAAATATAATTCCTAAACAAGTAAGACCTATAGTAACATTTTAAACCCACACTGACAGAGTTTGCTGACTTGTCCTAGAAAGGTTTTTAGATAACTTGTCAGCATTGCAAGCTTCTGCTATTTAGAGTTTTATTTTGATAGTGTTGAATTTGTGACATTTTCCCTCGTTCTGCAGTCACACTGGTTTGCGTATGTGGGCGATTGTTGACGCGAAGGAAATGCATTCGTCAATAAAACTCGGACGTCGACAGGGGAATATGTCTTGAGTTGCGCCTCCTGGTCTTGAATGCAACCGTACTACCGATTCAGTGGTGGCTTGTTTTGTTGTGGGTAGCACCCTCAACCCCAGGGAACAAAAAGAACTATGCAGAAAGTCACCATAAAACCGATTCAATGTCAAAACTACGAACTTTTAAATTGAAAGTTTTCAGATGCTCTTCATAACAAAGTTGCAGCTTGCTGCTCTGCAGACGGATATTTGAATATCGATTACTTTAGGAAATTATAATGGAAATCAAACAATTAATATTCCTTTGCGTATTATTATTCGTTGTGATATTTTTCATACTAGCAAACGTACTGTATGTGAATAAGTATGTGGGAGTATTAAAAAAAGTAAAGGGAAGAATTCCTTCCAATATCAGAAAACCCATCCGGGGAGTGATCCGAGACAAACACAGAAATGACATGAGCAAGCACCCAAAAACTGACTTGAGGAATGACACAAAACAACCGAACGTAATCCTCATTCTAGCTGACGATTATGGTTATTATGACATTGGTTACCATGGCTCTGAAATCAAGACACCCGTACTGGATCGGCTTGCAGCTGAAGGCGTGAAGTTGACCAATTACTACGTCCAGCCGATTTGTACCCCGACTAGGACGCAGCTGTTGACTGGTAGATACCAGGTATGGCACTTTTCTAAACAACTGATGGCGCTGTTGCTGGGGTGTCAATCAGGGAGGGTGCTTTTTCTCGTTTTATATACGAGTTTTTCTGTTTTAAACTGTGAGCCCAAAATTTGCTATATTTGGGAATAAATTGTGAGGCTAATACATGCTTCGTAATAGTTATCGGTCAGTGCTGATCAGTGTTACACGTTAATACAAAGGACTCAAAACAATGTCAGTACAGCACGAACAGCATAGCTACTTCGATATAAAGTATTTCTTTTTGGACATTTGCCATTTTTATTTTCTTTCTCCATTTGCTAAATTTATCGTGGGGCTGACTTCAATGGGTATGCACCCTTAACCTCTCCCCGGCTACGACATGGCAAAAGAGGCCCCAATACACCTGTCAATAACAAAAGAAAAATTAAAATAAGAATAATTGAAAAACACAGGTGCATGCATTTTTCAGGGTTGCAGTTCAATCTTCACTACCTTTCGTACTTCAAGTATTCCTGTTGTGTTTGGGGAGGAGCGGACGTACCTTTGCCATTATTGCGGCAATTGTCGATTATCATGGCCGCTTTTTGTGAGTCATATTTTGGAGTCCTGTAAAGTAAGGGGTGTACCGTATATAGAGATTGGCTGTTGACGACTTTTTAGTATTCTGTTTTTGCTTTGCCGTTGATATTGTTCATTTAAATTTATTCCTCGTATTCTTGATACTTTCCGCGAAGATTCACACAGGATTCCAGCATTCTCTGATATGGCCCTACATGCCCAGCTGCCTCCCCTTGGACGAGATAACTGTAGCCCAGAAGCTGAAGGAGCTTGGGTACTCGACACATCTAATCGGCAAGTGGCACTTGGGTCTCTACAAGAAGGCTTGTTGGCCAACTCGGCGGGGATTCGACACCTTCTTTGGTACATTCCCTTGGCTTGTAGATGTGTTGGTTTGTCATGTGCCCAGCTATTATTTGTTGTGGAATTTCCTTGTTGTGAATGGAGTTTATGTCTGCAGAAGATGGTATGCTTGCAGATGCCTCATGAAAGGATGTCCTTCTTTCCTATGCGTTGATAACCCTAAAGAACTTGTACTTCAATTTCCTGAAAACTTTCAAGTCCTGCCTGGTACTCCCGAAGGAGGAATACAGACCGTTAAAAAACTCTTCATACCCGAATCTTCTTTAGGGCATCCTTTGCTCTTCGAAACGATTTTGCATGTGGTACACTCATGAAAAGTTGGATTCATTGCCATGATTCATACCTTACGTGGTCAGCTTGGCGCCTCAAAACGCTGCACTGGATCACTGGCCGCCATTTCCCCAGCAATTTGCATCTCAATGGTTCATGCATAATGTTATCCAAATATGCAAACTTAAATAAAACAAACTGATCAAGCACGACAAAGGTTTCTATAAACTGTAGCTTGCTTTTACTTTATTATTATAAGGTTGCCCTGCATGTGATAATTGTTATTCATGTACTGGCGGTTCTATTGATTGTTTGCATATAATATCAGCATGCATGCATCTTTTTCTAATTCAGGTTTTTTGCTTGGTAGTGAGGACTATTACGAACACCAGAGGTTTGATGACTTTGACTTCCGTGATCAAGAAGAGTTGGCTTGGAGTTACCAAGGGCAGTACGCCACCCACCTTTTTGCAAAACGCGCTCAAGACATCATTGCTAGACATGACAAACACAAGGTGGGAAAGTCTCCCTCTTTCTGTCACTGTGTTTATAAATAAAGTTTGGTGAAGCTTGCAGCTGGGGGCTTTTAAAGTCGTCATTTATGGACAAAGCAAACAATACTCGTAATGTAAGCAAAAGACACAGCCATGTTGTAAAGATGGCAGAAAAAACTGTCTGATGATAATATTTTATTAAGCAGCCAACTAATTTCAATATAAATTCATCAAATATTAATCCTTGAAACAGTCAAAGGTTTGTCGTAAGAAAATATTAAACAGTATCGATAGTTACAAGTCCATTGTGAAGCAATTTAGAAATGGTTTTTCCACAGCCGTTTTTCATGTTCTTCTCAAACCAAGCGGTTCACGCGCCACTACAAGTCCCCAGCCAGTACCTGCGGCAGTACGCGCACATCAAGAACCGTAACCGTAAACTGTACGCTGGTATGACGACGTGCATGGACGAGGCGATCGGCAATGTCACAGAGACACTGCAAGAACATGGTCTGTGGAACAATACCGTCCTTATATTTTCCACGGGTGAGAAATTCGATTTTGTTTGTTTGATTGCGTAGGCTGTTTATTACGGAGTTTGTAATTTCAAACCCTGCTTCGGTCGATTTCCTTATCCATCTTTATAATAAATATGCGAACCTATAATATTCAGCTTCCCTATCAGCCTTGAGCAGAATCACCCCTCATCGGTTGAAAAGAGCAATGCTGACTGGAAGGTCGAGTTTGGGCGGGTTTTTCTTGACAAGGGGTTTCTTGTTCTCGCGCCCGAACGGCGGGAACACGACTCAAGAACACTGTTCTCGGAACAGGATCACACACCGCCTCCTCGTCAGACTTTTTACTACACACAGAAAAAAATCCTGAGATTTTGAATTTTGAACAGCCGCAAAAAATAGTGAGATGGCTTACAAAGCCGGAGACAATAGGAAGTTTTACATAATTATTTTTCTATAACACAGAACTGAATGTTCCTGCACAGAAACATGCAATAGGCTAAATGGTGCCGTCCTGCCTTTTCGGGTAAAGTTCTCACTTTTAGCCGTGTCCATATCGTGTTTATAGAGCTAGAGGTCTTTGCCGCCTGCAAAATGCGCAGACACATACCATAGATGTAGCTGTTGCTTTACAAGGCCTTATCAGACACGGAAATATTATTGGTATAATATCCGTGGTGCCACTGGTGAACGTTGCAATGTTTGTAGCGTGCTGCACTGTATAATTTCCAAATGGTGTCGAGTGTGCACAACTAATTTTTATTTAAATGTGCACAGACGTCTTCAAATAAACATCAAATTACATTGCAGCCAAAAAAGTGGTATTTTGATACAAGAAATGGCAAGTCCCTTCTCAATCGTAGAAAATTCATTTTATGAGACAAATTAATCGTCACAGTCCTCTGGCACGTAGTTTGGATACACATGCCTTTTAGCCTTGACTTATGATTATTCTATCTTTCAGACAACGGCGGCGACCCACGGTTAGGAGCAAGTAACTGGCCCCTCAGAGGTGGCAAACGAACCCTCTGGGAAGGAGGAGTCCGTGGCATCGGGTTTGTCCACAGTCCCCTGTTGCACCCTCGTGTCCGAGGCACTCAGAATAGAGAGCTCATCCACGTCAGTGATTGGTTTCCCACGATTGTCACGGGCCTTGCTGGCGGAAAACTGAATGGGCCTAAACCACTTGATGGTTATAACATGTGGGACACCATCAGGTACATAGGCTTTTTTTCTGTTGCAGTTTGCTCATGAACTCACTGAATAGATAAAAATGGTTGGTTCCATTCTATTGAAATGTTACTCCTCCAATTGAAAATGGGGTCAAGAGTTAAATCGAACAGATCAGGATTTCAGTCCAGTTTCCAATGGAAGGGCTTCTATCTTTTTCAAACTCTTTCAATCTGAACTCAGTGTGATTTTCAGTCTAGCACGTCTAGTTCCTGATTTCACTTTATAAACAAAATTACTGGATTGTGGCAACGCCTTGCTAACTTTCGTGCACTTTCCGCATGTGCATTAAGATGATCAGGGGTCATTGTCAACCGACGGAAGGATTTATGTGTAGAAAGAAAACCTCGAAGACGTTGAACACAAACCTTGATCGCTGCCACATTTAATTGTAGTGAATACAGACAAGTTCGTGCATTTTGATAAATTGGAATCAATGAGTGGTTTTATCGAATGTTTAAACAAAATTACGGAAGAAGGATCAATCAAATCAATCTGATCTGATCCAAAACATTTTTTACATCATCAATCTGCAATCGGAATCCGACTTCTATTCAGTCCGATCCAATCTGAGGTCAGATTGAGATCGGAATCATGCAGGTTTAGATGGCGCATCTGTAGCCCTAAAGTTTCAAGGAATCACAATCGTATACATAATGTGGATAGAATAGGTGTTCAGCATCATCGAGTGTCTGCATTCGAGAGTGATGAGTGAGCACCGTTTATTCATAGCACATCAACCCCTACATAGCATAGCACGTTGTTGACTACAGGAAAAAAGAAAATTTCAATGAAATTCAGTGGACCTGTAGACACGAATCTTTGAATATGTGTACGTATTTAATCTCTCAGGCCTGCTCAATCTCGATATAAGTTCACACTGTCACTTCAAAGTTTTTCACCAGGCAGGCTTTACGTCAAACGCGCGGTTTGCAGTCTGTTTAGAAATAAATCTGATGTTTATAAATCTCGCTAAATACACCAGAAAGATTTTTCTCTGAATCATTTCAGGTTTGGCTCCCCATCTCCCCGTAATGAAATCCTCCACAACATCGACCCGTTTGAAGGTCATGATCACCCCTTCACAGATTCACTCTACAACAATTTCACCTTCACTCTCAAGATGAGATCAGCTATCCGTGTGGGTGACTGGAAATTATTGACTGGACCCGTTGGTAAATATGCCTTCCTGACGTTTATCTTAAAAATGAAATAAAAAGTTAGACTTAAATGGGAATGAGCCCGGACAGTCGAATTCCATTTGTTCATTCCAGCTGAAATTTCACAAATGTTTCGACGTTGGAAAGAAGATTTCTTGGTAAATGTCTCATGCATTTCAAAGATCATTTCCCGTGACATTCGGAGCATTATCAACATGCCCCTATGGCATCTTCGGCACTCCGATTACAGTAATAAGAGCCTTCATAAACTCTGGTATCAAAATCTTTATAGGATCTATTCTGGAACCAGCTATCGTACTGAAGTGATAACACTTCAGTGAGATAGCTGGTCCTAGTTATAGAAGCTTTGGTAGGAAGTTCTTGCCATCTCCAACTGTGAAAGATTCAGTAAGTTTCTCGGTATGATTGTCTTCAGGTGAGCCTCGCAATTGGATTCCGCCGGTTGAGTCAAGGCTGAAGCCCGAGCAACCCCACGACCCGCCCGACCAAACTGTCTGGCTCTTCAACATTAGAGACGACCCTTACGAGCGCTACGACAAGTCTGCTGAGCGACCAGACATTGTGGAGGTCTTGATTACCCGCCTACAGGAGCACTACACTTCATCTGTCCCAATAATCTATCCACCTGACGACCCGAAGGCTGAGCCTAAACTACACAATAACACCTGGACGAACTGGGAATAAAAAAGAAGATATTGAGACTTTTTTTATCAAGCGAAAACGGAGTTGTTTTTTCACGTCCTTTGGAGACTGCGTGTTACATATGACTATTTTAAAGTGTAAACTATGCGCAATCACGCATAAATTTTGATGTTAATTTGAGGTTGAAATAAGTGAACATGACTGTGTGGTCGTGCGTAGGCATTATCAAGCTTCCATTAGAAGGTGGAACGGCGACACTGCGAATGTTCTCACGCAAGTGGCGCTGATGCATACTCTGTTGCATACACGAGCAAACATCCTGCAAACTTGTGCTGCCCTCTGCCTGAGGAGGTGGTTGCTTGATTGAAAAGTTCACCACACACTGTCCTGTTCCCTCACGGTCGGTAGAGATACATGTAATTAATACATGTATCTCTTTCAGTCACTGAACATTTGTCGACCGTTTGTGTGACTTGAAATTTTCGCAAGCAAGTGGCCTTTGGTACTTTCACAATATTCAGTCAAAAATTTCTAGTGTCTCAAACGTCAAAGACAGATCTGACATGCAGCGTGTCTTCTGTAAACGAACAAGCGCGTGCGAACATTCCGGCCCCAAATAGGAAGTCTTTGTTGAGAAATGAAGCGTCATCGCTCAGGCATCGATTGATGACCGCAGAATCACAAAGCGCATGGATAGTTCTTGTTTGTAATGGCAAACCAGCACCGTGACTTTTTGAAGTAAGACTTCTCGTCATTGTGTGGCAGGATGACTGCAGCGTGGCAGATCAATCTGTTAAAGTAAAAAACAAAAGTTAGAATATGCAAGACGACATTCATGTATGCTAATACGTGTCCATTTTCCACTGCTTTATATGTAGTACCTCTATTTATAGAGGCTAAATTTTGAAAAGAAAATCGATGAGAAATACGTATTTAAATAATTACAGTTTGATGTGATTTTAATGTAAGGGTAGGGCAAAAGCAAAATCCTGATGTTGAAACATCGTCGGTATGAGGAAAGTGCAATCCCGCGGTTGTCGGCAGAGCTGATTGTCCATGTATGTGTGTGGGGTCGTATTTGTTTCCAGACATGCTAATTTACGGTAACAAATTGAATTTGACATCATTTTGTAAAGCTACAAAGCTGTCATTCGATTTCGCATGACTTCCAAAAAATAGTTGATGTAGGCATTTTTTTTTGCATTCAGAGCGGCGTGGCAGCAGCGGTGTAGCTAGGATTTTACAATGGGGCCACATGGGGGCACCAGCATCTTATGGGGGCACCAGCTTTCAGAGGTGTATTTTTTTTGGGGTGGGTGGCCTTGTTCAAGATCCATTCATCCATTTTTTTTAGCGGGGGAACCTGGGGGCACACTTGCCCCTAGCTCCCCCTCCCCTTCGTGGCTACGCCCCTGCGTGGCATTCAATTTGGAACAATGGAAATTCAAATTCTTGCATTAAGCATTTTTGGAGAGTGCTAAATTTTAGGCTACTTTGTCTCCGAAAATAAAATGAATAAAAAAATTGAAGTACCTTTTTCTGTGTGTTTTTCTTTGTGCAATTTTCTTCTTTTCTAAACTAAAGTAAATGAATTTTTATATCATAAGGAAGATAAATAGACCACCTGGGTTACAAATAAAATAAGACACGAGAAGACCCGCCGCCGCTGTAACTCAGCGGAATACATTAGCTGTATGCTACTGCCAAACAACTCGGTTCACCACAACGACGAACGCAAAGAGAAGTGTAAAAATCAACAACCGGAATCACTCAGATGGAAGCACAAGAACTTGGAGTAGTAAAGCAACCGCTGCGACCATCAGCAACGCAGGAAAGAATAAGAAAGAAACACGTGGCGAAAGACCAACAACATAATGACGTAATGCAGTATCTACCGCGGTGCATTGTGGGTGAAAAATGGGGAAGTTGCAGGAAAACGTCGACGTGACACGTTATGTGTAACGTGTACTATATTGCTTGTGTATCGACCTGACGCGAAAAATGAAAAATAAAAATAAAATCCCAATTATCGTCCGAAATGGTCCATCATGTGTGAACTGCTGTGTTCCATTGTGTTTATCAAGCACTCGACGAACGCCAGAGCTGCGTTTTTTTTTTAACTTCCACGGGACCGCAAAAGCGACAGATTTGGATAAGTTCCGTGAGAAATAAGGCCACCAAAGCGAAGTCTAGGTGGACCGTATGGTGTACTATTTACGACAAACATTTCTCTCTCTCTTTAGCCTCCATCCAAGCGACACAACTAGACGACGCGACGGCACGACGGCTCCCTTGTGTCGTGCCGTCGGGTCGCACCGTCGCCTTCTTGACATTACTTTTGTACACACACGACGCGTCGCGTTGTGCGTCGCGTCTTGCCGTCGCCCGTCGCGTCGTGCTGCCTTAGGTCTTTTCCATGTTGCATTTATTGCCACCTAAACGTCGCCCCTTCCGTCGCCCGTCGCGTCGTACCGTCGTGCGTCGCGTCGTACGTCGTGTCGTGCATCGTGTCGCCTATTACGTCGACTAAAGCGCGATGCACGACGCGACGGGTCGTGTGCTGTCGCCCTTTGCTTCTTGGTGTTTATAGAGGGCGCCTTTACTGTTTTCTTTTATTTCCGCCCCCGTACTTGCATAGTACGGAACAGTCCACTAATTCAAGCTCCATTGAAAACAGTGTAAAATCGGCACTGTTCAGGGCCCAATAACATGGATGCCAACTTCCTTGAGATTGCTGAAACACAAATGAAATTATTGTCTGGTCCCTTATCTTTTGATTTCCTTTCAATTTTTCAAGTGGCAACCCTCAACCTTCTTGGGCACTTAGGACCATTTTTTTTTCTGTAGTTTTTAGCCATTCTGCTCTCATAGGATAGCTCAAAGACCCAGGCAGTTGATCCTGGCAACGATTTACACATTTTCACCATTTCAGGGGCCAAACAATCCCCCTTTTTTCAGAAAAATGCTGGGCTGCTACTTTTAATGCTAATGAGCTGACCACAAATTCTCACTTTAATAGTGGACTTCATGCACCCAGTACATGGTATTCGCTCTTTGTACGCTGCCGCCATGGGCATGCAGAGCCTTGAACTGACAGCTTTTGAAATATTGTCCAATTGTAGAGTATAGATGGCAAAAGCACTAACGCAGCATCATGCCAAAAATTACTAAGCAACATACATGGAAAAAGCTGCCAGATCGAGGCTCTGCATGCCTATGGCGGTAGCGTACAAAGAGCGAATAGGTAGCAGGTCTTGTTTCTGTTGTTCTTTTTCATGCATGCTTTCTCACTTTGTGTTTTCATTAAGAGTGAGTTGTGGAAGAAAAGGTTTGTTTGTTTGTTTGTTTGTTTGTTTTAATCAAATGTAATTAGAAAGAGCGTCACGACCAACTATCAGCCTTGTCTCCAGGAAATACATAATATGAGCCACAACGTTCTTTTAACTTTTCCTGCTCTAATTTTGATCTTCCTAATAATTATGTAATAAAATTAATTTTGTTCCCCTACTTTTTGAAATCCTAACTCCCTCAGAATTAGGTCATACAATTTGTGCAGGTTGTTTGGCAGCGCGTGTGGGCAGTTGGTAGCAGAACTTGCAACCAGCCACAAGAGTCCTTGAGAAGGAGCTGATAACTTCCCTAGCTAGTGACCTTCCACACTTCACTTGACAACTGGACTGAACAGAGACTGTTCTGTTGTCTCTCTGTGATTTCTCCTTCCATCGAACCTGCCATAGTTACAAATTCGTCCCTGTCCTGTTCTAGGCAAAAACATTACCAGTGTAAGCCTATTGAACCACACACGCATACGTTGCTGGACAGTGGGTGGCCTGGACCAGAGCCACATGAATTCCGTTCCGAAACCTGATTTAGTCGAGGGGAAGGAAAGACTGTGCACTTGAACCCTAGACATGATATCGCCCAACACATCTTCGACATCCAGTCAAGTTCTTTTTACTGCAAGCCTTTCCACTGCAAACTCTACAGCTACTTGCCAAGTCAAGACAAGCCAAGTCGTCCCCAACTTCAGCAATAGATCGTCTTCAAGCTTGGCCCTTTATTTATTTTCACTGCTAATTCATAATTTTTCTTTTAAATAGAATCCCTGTTTTTTTCTCATTATTAGAAAGATGCTTTCTCTAACGTGAGGGTATTTGTATTTTCGTAAACCGTGCGAAAACTTTTCACTATATTAGCCGGAAACGAATTAATTCTCACTGGTTAGCTGATAATAAAAGGCGTAAACTAGTGAACAAAGAAATAATGTAAGCTGGTGTCATGATTCTCATATTATGTCAGCTACAATATTTCTCAATCTATTTGAAGATACAATACATCAATCATAATAACGTGCTTGATAATGTCAGATGCGGATCAGAGGAGAAATTATGATGTGTGTGGCCAAACAGAGTTGAAAAAAAAAAGACGCGGCCACAATGATAATAGCGTCTGTATAATGTTTTATTCAGAAACATGGACTAATATCATTGAAAGTGTGGTGCTGATGAAGGTAACGAGGACGACTGGCCTGATGGAAGACTACGACGGAATATTCTGAGGGTATTATAGAGCAGGCTCGGTGGTAACTTCCTAAACCAGTGGTCAAACTTGCAGTCATACAATTGTAGACAAATTGTCTGGGGAATTTGGAGTACTACTTAGAAATTACCGGGATGGACCACGGAGACATACCGGTATCTATAAGATTACAAATCTACCACAAATGGGAAGTGCATCGACGGTATTAAAAAGAAATTATTGGCTGGGTTTAAAGAGTGACGAATTCTGGGCTTCCACTTATATGAGAGAGCAGTTCCTACATACGCCGATTTTCTTTTTGCTCTTTTTTCTTTTTCTTAATAAAACATGACAGAAATTAATCCTAATAGAGTAATGGATGAGATGATAACAATAACAAATCAACACCAAAGAGTAAACAGCATGTACTTTGCAAGCACGGGGGACAGAAATGAAAGAAAATAGTAAAAGCGCCCTCCATAAACACCGTGAAGCAAAGGGCGACAGCACACTACGCGTCGCGTCGTGCGTCGTGTCGTGCGTCGCGTCGCGCTTCAGGCGACGTAGAAAGTGACGTGATGCACGACACGACGTACGACGCGACACACAACGCGACGCGTCGTGTGTGTACAAAAGTAATGTCAAGAAGGCGACGGTGTGACCCGACGGGCACGACGCAAGGGAACCGTCGTGCCGTCGCGTCGTCTAGTTGTGTCGCTTGGATGGAGGCTAAAGAGAGAGAGAAATGTTTGTCGTAAATAGTACACCATAGGACCGACCTCTACATGCAGTCTACATTTTACAGGCGGAGACAAAACCTACGATGTACCAGATCCAACGATTTTCCCGTGGACAAGTGAGTGGGAAGAGGTTGTTTCCCGGCAAAATGAACAAGAAGAAGCTGCCTTTCTCTTCAGACATGATTTGGGAACTTTATACATGAAACTCTTTCTCATGATTTTGCTGGTACAACTGAGGAGAACTACCTAACTTCTTATAGAAATCTTTGCCTATTTTTCCATTTCCATCTAGAAGCAATACCGTGGATGGCTTTGTATGTTTACAGGATGATTTTGAAGTTGGTCCTGTACAAAACAGATAACCAGTGCAGATGATACAGTATTGGGTTATGTGCTGAAACTTGGGTGTATTCGCAAGTCTAGCTGTAATCTCATTATCTGTGCTGCCGACAAACCATACAAAAGACTATTACAATAGTCCAGATGGCTGGTCACAAATGCGTGAATTGAAACTGAAAGTGAATCGGGAGAGAGGAATTTACTACTGCACCTAAGATTGGGAAGCTGCACACAAGCCTCAGGATGTGGGTGCCATTGTCATATCTCAATCAAACCATGATCCCAAATTCCTTAGGCACGTGGATGGAGGTATTACAGAATCGCCCACCGTGACATTAGAAATATTTATTTTCCGCAATTGTTGTCTAGTTCCAATAATCAGGATTCACACTTAGTGTGATTGATCATTAGCCTGTCTTGCAGCATCCAATTTCCAATGTCCAAAATACAACTTTTCATTGCAGCTAGAGCAGTTTGGCAGGAAGTGTCATCAGGTTTAAATGATAAATACAACGGTGTGTCGTCTGTATAATAATGGCATCAGGCAAATGGTCTTCAATGATGTCAAATAGTTTAGAAGCATAAACCGTAAATAAAAATGGTCCTAAGCAAGACCCTTGAGGGACACCACAGTGAAGATCAAATTTCTCTGAAAGAGTACCCTGTATAGAAATACGTTGGCTTCTGCCAGATAAATATGATGAAAACCTGGCCAGAGCTTTACCAGATATCCCAACTTTAGATTCTAAACGTTGCAACAGAATAGTGTGATTAACTGTATCAAAGGCAGCACTTAAGTCCAAGTGAACAAGCAAAATGACATGCTGAGAGTTCATTTTCAGCAATATATCACTCTTGCTCTTCATGAGAGCCGTCTCAGTGCTATGATACTTTCGGTAAGACGATTGAAAATCTGGAAACAGAGAATGTTGACACATGTGGGAGTAAAGCTGATTACACACAGCTCTCTCTGTCAATTTAGAAATGTATTGGAGATTACTAATCGGTCGATGATTTTCTAATATCGGATCGAGGTTTGTTTCTCTTCAACAAGGGACGCACCAAAGCTTCTTTCCAGTCCCTTGGAAATATACTGGGTTCTCATGAACAGTTGATAATCCGGGTAATAACCAGAAGCAAGACATCAAGGCAATCGCTCACCAGCTTAGTAGGCTTTGGATCCAGATCACATGATTTCTTTGTGGACTTCACAAGTTCTACAACCTGTGACCTAGTCAGTGGTTGAAATTGGTCAAATAAAATGCCACACAACAAAGGCGATTCAGGTACCGGATAGGAAGTTCAGCTTCAAGCCTAACATGGTTATTAGATATTTTCTTCTCAAAGAAGATACCCATGTCATTAGCAAGAGCCAGCTTGTTGGTATACAGTGGGAAAGGAGCATTATTAGTGTGTGTATCGGGGGCAGTACATTAGTGAATTTGAGCTCGATGTTTTGTTCTCAAGTGATAATAATTTATTATTCAAATTTCATGCAAAAACTGTGCACCTAATCACATGCAGCCTTCATTTATTACCGGTATTTATCTACCTTTTTTATATGAGAACATAACATCTTAGAGACCTCTGTGCCGTGATTCCCGCTTACAAGTTAATCACTGCTTGTGTAGGCCTACCTCCAATGCATAAAATAGCGCAGACTTTCTTTTGTGTTGTTAAATTAATAACTCATAAACCCTGACTGAAATTTGCCATAGTCACAAATAAGCCAGTCTTGACTTGCGAATGTGAAAGCACATGTTGGTAACATATTTCCAAATGTAAACAAAGTTCTGTCTATAAACCAATGCCATCCGCTTTGAGCAAAAGCAAAGTCTTTGGAGATTGTTGTAGCGATGCGCCCGCAACGCGCGTACATTTCACAGTCGTTTGCGAACCAGCGAAGTGCTGTTCCCTTTAATGGAGCCGCCTTTGCAAGGAAATTTGCGCCCTTTCTTGGTCCAGTTCGGACCTCATACAAAAGCGTCTTCGGTCTATTTCTGTCTTTCTATGGAACGCTTATTCCAAATTGGCGGGTGTATGACAGTCATATTTGACGCCATGGTTCCTTCAGACTGCTCCGCTCCCATGGCTCTGTGGTTGGACGTTGAGCTGTAACTGCTGGGCTATGTTTATTTCACTGTAGTGGGGGTTCTTGTTTGTTTGCTGTTTCTTCCTGCTGAGACATGGAATTTGCATAAACCAAGAAGAATCACCAGTGGATCCCCAACACGCGGCTCCATTATTATTGAAATTTTTCTATTGAGGTTAGAAAAAAAAAGAGTTCTCCCTGGATCACCTTGGGAGGCTGGGTTCACTACACCACTCAAGGCAGTCGATATATTTGTACACTATGCCTTGCAAAAAAAAAAAATCTGAGGCCTACAAAATACTGCAGTAGGCCTATGTCATTAAAACACTCACACAGCTGACTTCGTACGCATAATAAATGCTTTAGCGCCTTCCTCTGACTGTTTTGTATTCCATAGCCACGTACAGCCACATGCTGCGTTCCTTCACTTACAACACTTGTATTAATGAACCATGATGGTAGACCTGTAGCAGAGAATGGACTACGGAACAGTTAACAGGGCCCTCAGTGTCTGGCCACATCATTATTATGGTTACACCGTAGCATGCTATGCACTACAAAAAACGATAAAAGGATTTAACTTGCATTCACTTTAATTATAGTAAATACATTGAATGTATTTTAAATTTGTCCAGAGCGGCATGCTTGCCATTGGAGTTTGCTTAGGTGCAGGTTTTTTTTATATCTGTCGCAGGAAATCAATTTTCATGCAGCTGCACAAATTGGCGCTATGTTCAAATTTGCTGCTAATTGGACTTGGCTGGAAAAACGTATACCCCCTTCAAGAAAACTTGACACGGAGGTAGTCAAGTTTATGGGCTTACAATGCAACCCGTCCGCTACTTCTCGCAGGCAGCGTCCAACCCACGTTCGGTTTTATTGCTTCACATCGAGGAAGAGAATCTGATGCAGTGAAAGCAAGATCACATACTGGTGAAGGAAATATAAATGTGAGAATTATCTATGAAAAAGAAGACTTTGGAAAAATTAGCATTAAACTACTGAGATAATTATCTGTAATGGAAAATTAAGAGAGGGTCTTGTAAACTGCGATTGTTTGCAGAGGGTCTCTGGAAGTGAATGCGTGTGGAATTTTTCGGATACAACTCACATATTCAACAATATGGACATGATTTATTCTTGTTAGCACAGACACAAAGAAACAAACACAGAAACAGAAAGAAAAAGTAAATCCTCTTGTACAACATAAAATATCAGACACAAACCCCGCACCACAAAGTTGAAACGTTTAAACTGGATTAAAAATTACCCTATCCCTTTGCAAACGGACGGTGGCGCTCGTCAATAAGATAAATTCAGGTCAAAGTTCAGCTCAAAGCGAGGCTACTCTATGAGGCACTTGTTTGTTTGGCAACAAACTCACGGGCCGATTTTAGCCCAGAATTTCATCGTTCCCGGGGTATTTTCCCTCCTGTTAGAAGTTGGTATGTATCTTTAATAGTGTGGGAAGCTCAGAGGTAATTTTTATAGCAAATGTCTGAAGAAAAGGGTGATTTTTTAGCATTGAAGTGTGCCAGCTTGGTTAGGCATTGTTCGTAAAAAATAGCGCTTAGATTGCGCATGCATGCACGCGTGCAGGTTTTACGAAGTCACGCTTGGGCCAAAGTTCAAAGGTCATCTCATGCTGCGTACATAATCTGCGAGTTGGAGGTTCCTTGTATTATTGTAATTTTGTACATTTGAAAGTATTTTAGGGAGGTGTATCATTTTGAAGTACTTTTGTCTAGCCTACCTCTTGACATTTCTCAGAGCAGAGGGGCTTCCAAAAAAAAAAAAATCTAAAAAAAGTCATATAGCCTAGGCCTACAAATAAATAGGCCACAGTGTGGGAAGGAGTTCCATATACGGATGCCAGTAATTATTTCCAACAGTGATCTATTAGCCATCAGACAGCAAAACCATGTTCAGAAAAGTTCAATTTTACATGTATTTAGGAGGGAAAGTCGTTTACCAGGAAAACACCTACATGTTCATGACTTAAGCCCAGACGTTTCCAGACCGGTCTCATACTCATAGGGTTTGTGCACAGGGTGTCAAGTGGCATTAGTAAATGGAACTCTTTCCGTAGTGTGTGTCATTTGGCTTAGGAAAAAACCCCAAAGCTGTCCCTGAAGACCAGGTGAACATTTATTGGCACAATCACACTGTGAAATGAAAGCAAAATGCTGTCATTTGTAACATGATGTTTGTCTAGAGTAATAAAAATGCCCAAAACTGAAACTAAATTTCTGGAAGGGAAAATAAGTAATTGATTTTCTATTTACATATTTTTAAGGATGTAATTAAGGATCTTAACATTCTTTCATATGAACAAGTACCACTGTTCAAGAAAGCGCAAGCTCAAATTTTTCTGGCCAGTCTCATAGGATTTGTGCACAAGGTGTTCCATAAGGAACTCTTTCCATGGGATACATGTAACTTCACACAATGAATAATTTGTGATGTGCCCAGTGAACTGAATCCTTGCCAGTTCCCTTTAAAGTGAAGCCCAATTTTTCTCATTTGCACTTTCTTTCCATTTTTTGATAGGTCTTGTTGGCTCATAAATCTTTCTGGCGCTGTTTTTATATGTAGGTTTGCGATGTGATCAGAAATACTTTCTATTTGTTTTTTCTTTCTCTTGGCCCAGTCGATATATAGATACAGAAATTGCAGTCCAAGGCTCAAAAAGAGGCAGAAATTCTATCCAGAGAATATCCAGGTTCAATTTTCTTTCCCTGAGGAAAAATTCATATATTTACCAAACTTTGGTGAAAAATGCTGCTGCTTGAATGCTCTCCTCACATCTAATTTATGCCCCAAATTCATTGTCAAAACAAATACAAAATAAGGAGGGCCTGATGTTTCGATCCAAGCAGAATCTTTCTCAAGACAGGACAAACAGGGAATCAACCAAGCATGGATGAATGCAGGAGGATAAAAGAAAAGGTCAAGAAAGCTGCAGACTAAATAAAGGGGCAAGGGGTAAAGGGAACTGCCTGAAAGGCATGGTTGATTAACAAAGGGATGTAAGGTGGGAAGAGATCAAAAAAATACAATGGAACGAACTGAACCCCAAGGAGGGGTATAATCTGTAGACAAAAGAGGGGGAAAGAAATTAGTTAATTAGTAGTTTCCCTCTTGGATGTTCAGGCCATGGGGTTGTATGGTGTGGAGGCGTTTGATACAAAGCTTCTCCCTGTTTAAGCGAACAGCATCTTTATGGTGCCCAAGTGATTCTATGCCCTGTAAGCTCATGTCAGACATACAGTGAATAGGAAGGTTGAAGTGGTGGCCTTCAGGGGAATGTAGTCCTTTGGAGTTGACCGTAGATCTGTGGCCATAGAAACGCTTCTTGAGAGTGTTCTTAGTCTCTCTGACACACTGAATACTGCACACCCTGCAAGAGATAAGATACATGTATATGGCACTAGAAGAGCTACAAGACGTAATAGTGCCTTAGGTTTTGTGGGTGGTACTGTAGGAGTGTATACAGAATGTATCTGATTCCAGGACATGGTTCTGGCAAACAACCCATCTCTTAGATTCACACTTAAAGGTTTGGATCCAGTGTGGATGACCATCTACTATTATTAGAACATAAAACCAACACCTAGTTTGCTTTATTGATGGGGAGGAATTACATAGACTTCCTGTGACAAACTGAGTACAAACCGTTTGAGACTGATCTAAAAATGTTTGAAAAAACTCTGATTTCCCAGGGATCTTATAGCATTCAGAGAGCTATAGATCTATAAGGATCTTGTACATTATGTTACATTCTTAGTAAAAGTGCCTGGTGTCATTCATTGTGCAGAATAATAAAGGGGAGACCAGGAAGTATGCCACGCAAAACTCGCTCGGAGACGCAATCCCCGGCCACTGAGCCACGGAGGCGTAGCTCTCGACTGGCAGCCCTACCTCAGACCTCCCCAGAACCCAAGCCAGTGTCTAGGGCACAGAAGACCCCAACCTCAGCCGAGAAGCCGGAACGTCGTGGACGCCCAGCAGGTTCTATTAAGAAGACCCCATCTCCTAAGAAGGTATTGTGCACAATGCAGCCACACAATGCATTTCTTCCATCCCTATCTAATAGTCTTGTTTCTTGCAGATGGTAACTATTGCTATTTTGTCCATTATTTTATACTAGTCAATATCTTGGTTTTGGCGTGAAGGAAAACAATGTGGCTTACTTACACTTGAAAGGAGGACTTTTTTGTGCCAACCAGGAAACTAGGGGTCGAAAGCGCAAGGCACAGCCAGAGCCAACTCAGGATGAAGAACCAGAGTCTAAGACTTCCAAGGAAGATACCGAGGAGCTAGCGGAGGTGACACGGGAAGATGAGAAGGCAGTAGCTGCAGGTGATAGCAAGAAAGAAGGTAGGCTGGAAGGGGCCAGGGTTAGAGGTTAGGTCAAAGGTCAACTAGATCATGAGAGTCAAGGGAGCCAGGAGAGGCTGTGATGTCAGGTTCAATGATGAGATCAATTTACCAAAATTGGACCAAAGAGGCTACATTAGGTGAGACATTGAGGTCAGTGCACTGTGTGCCAATAGGTCAGATCAGGTCATGAGGTATTTTCTCAATAGTTTAGTTTGATGTCAGGTCTTTGTATGTTAGGTCATGAGATTAGATTGATGAGGTTACATTAAGAACATTAGACTGCATTAGGCTGAGGCATAAAGTCGTAGTTGGTTTAGAGAGACAACAGCTATTGCATCTTGGTACTCTGAACAGGTTTCTCTCTTTGGCAACTGCTGGATTGTATGTCATACGTAGAGAAAAGTCTGTAGTCAGTTTACTGGGGAAACGTTGAGTTTTTTTTCTACTCGCAGGTTGGGAAGGATCTCCCTTAAAACGTTAGCTGTACCCGGGCTAAATGTTTTTAAAACTTAGCATGCATGTGAAGACATTCATTATCAGCACATCTGTAAAGTTTCAATTCAGTCTGACATAGGATCTTGTTTTATGTAGAGTCATTTATTGTTCATGCTTTCACATGCATAGACACACACACTGAGAACATGCCAGTGAGAAAATTAGGACGTCAGTTTTGAAAAATTCCAAATTTATGCTTCCTTTAGTGTAGCAGGTCACACATTTTCTTCAGCATCTTCGCTGTTTGTTTTGTCTGCAGGTGAAGATGCACCTGATGCTCAGAGTGATGAAAAGAATGGAAAGGCAGAGAATGTTGACTCCAAAGATGAAAAAATGGAAACAAATCAAGGTAGTAAATGGATAAGGGGCAATGCTGTGTGGTAATACAGCGCCCTCCGTTGACCGCCGACAGGCAAAAGCTTGTACTTGAATATACTGGGATTTCCTGTGGCATTTTGATAAAGCAAATGTTTTCTGTACCATGTCTGGCATACGGAAGAAAACATTGTAAGCTTTTGCTGTATTTGCTTTGAAATGGGCAACACTTCCCATGTGAATTGAATCCTTCAACTTTTGACCTTTGCTCGGTGAAGAGTTTAAGACTGGACAAGTGTGGTAATACATTGAGGCTAATGTCGGAAACAGCAAATTCATTCGAAGAAGAATCAGATATACATGTAGCTGTTTCAGATACCCTGCACTGCCTCTCACTGGGAGATTGACCCCAAATTGGGCCTTTTTTTTTTTTTTCAAAACCACTTTCCCCCATAAGCTGCTTCAGGTGTCCACAGACTTCCCCAGTTTTCTGGCCAAATCCTGTTGCCTTCTTGTATGGCTAGGGCTAATTCCTACTGACATGAGGCACTGTTGTCCTTGTGAGGAAGTGGGAGGGAGTGGATACTCCTAAGGAGTTTAGTCTGTGTCAGCTCTTTCCAGCAAGTTGATCAAACAGCCAAGGTAGTGAGCTGTGAATGAAAGCTGTCACAGACTTGCCCTGATGCGCTCTAAAGTGCTGTCTTTAGTCCAAGGAGAGAAAAACTTGCCAGCCTGTACTGAACAAGTGCCCAGATGCTGCCTAGAAAATGTGTTGATGCCCTTTAGCCACACATAGCCTAGCTGTCACAAGTAACGCATTTGCATTTTTGCCTGTGTGTCAGTGTGACACTTGGCAGCATGATGCTGGCTTGTTCATACAAGGAGAAGTGGCTGCATTCACGTATATGCTTTTTGTGTGCTGCCTCCCCAGCAATAAATATCTGTAAAATTCATTCAACTACATGTATACAAGCCACGGCTTATACATTGATTCTCATACTGAAAAATGTCACTGCAGCTTATACACTAGGCAGCTTACACGGTAAAATCAGTCACAAAAAACTGCTGCTGGGCCATGCGTACCACATGCAGGTGGCACAGTCATGGGGACACGAAACACATACCTGAAATGTGTATGTTATTTTAAACTTGATTTGCTCTGCTGTGGCGAGAGTTTTAGTGATTATTTTCCTGCTTTTTATTCATTCTCATAGTGTATTTTTGTACAGACAATTAATCACTCTACTAAGATTTTTTATTTTTGTTACCTAAAGATTTCTTTCTACCGTGAAATAAAAATCAACCGCTTCAATGGTCTACCTTTGTATGACAGATCTTTCATCTTTACTGATTGTGTTCGGCGTAACATGCCACAGAAGTTCAGGTTTTTTCACTTGGGTTTCCCGATGACAACACTTTCTGTGGTCATGTTGTTATCAGAAAACCAAACAGCTGGACTGTCCATGAATGGGTCTGCAGTAGCAGTCAGGCTAGCCTGAAAACGGGGTTTGTTGCAATCATGATGGTGCGTGCAGTGCATACATCCATGTGCAGCATGCATGCACACAAGCGGTTCCAAAGTGATGACGCGCACCAAGGTCTCGCAGCAGATTTTTCATTTTTGAAGCAATTTGGCAGTGTACTTTTGATCTGTGTCACAAAACCATTGACATAACCAGATGTCGTGTTGTGGACAGTTACAGAGGGTTTTTTTGCATAAAAGCCTATTCTTTGGGAAAAAAATAGTCGAAGATCGAGATAAAACGATCTTCAGACTTAATAACCAACTTTGAGTTACCAAGATTTTATTGTACGTTCCCAACCGCATAACTTTTCCTGGCCGCTGGGTAAAAGGTCTATAGCTGATGCACAGCCCATCAGGACAATCATCCAGCCCACAAAAGTTATTCAATTTGAGGACTTAAAATTCAATTTTTATGGTGACTTTTGTTTGCACTTTTCTTATATTTATTACGATTGCACGTATTGTGGAACCATTGATTCACTGTACTGGCGCTTCAGTATGAAGCACCTTCATGGTTGATCGTCAGCACCGCGGTGCAGCTTATAAGCTGGTGCAGCATATACACTGACTTAAATCTTAATATGCCGATTTTTCTGTGCCGGGGCTTATACACCGTGCGGCCTACATTCCAATAATTACGGTATATTATTGACGAAGTCAGTTCAGAGTTTTTGTGATTAGTTTGCGCACAAATAACTTCAACCCGTACTGTAACATTTCTGAGTAATGTCAAATCCCTCTGTTTTTTCACTGTCCTACCCTAATCCTTACCCTAACTCTTACCCTAACTGTGCATGAATTTGTGATTTACTGACTTACACCTACTGATCCAACTCACTTTTCACATACTGACATAACTTACCAAACTCCATGACAATTAATGGAACAGATAAAGCCCAGACATGCACAGCAACAGCTAAGACAGAGGCCCAGCCCACAGGACGGACCCCGGTCCACAAGATGCCCAACCCGGTGGTCAAGATCACAGCGGCAGAGATTCCACAGAAGCAGACCTCTGCCCCAGTAACCCAGGAGGTCAACAAGCCAGCAGCCATGCCCGCAGCCCCACCACAGGTGATTAAGGCTACACCTGCTCCTGCAGCTGCTCCGCCTACCGTCCAGCCCATGGTGGCCCAATCACCCCCTAAAATGCAAACAGTTCAGTCAGTCCCGAAGCCGCCCATGGCCACTTTGGAGACTTCACAGGCCAAAGAACCATCTGCCCCCTCCCGGACAGAGGCCGAGACATCAGCCCCTGCCCCTGTGGTTATCACATCTCCAGTCGTAATTCCAGTTGAGAGTATGAAGCCGGTAACTCAGCCAGATCCAAAGCCCCAACAGCAGCCAGAAGTAGTGGTTGTCGACTCCAGTGCACAGAAGGTAGATGAATCTGTCACTGAGAAAGTTGTTTCTCCTCCTACAACGGAAAGTGTCGAGGCTACAGCAGTCAGTCTTGCTCAGGAGCCTACCAAGCAACAGCAACAACAAACAGTAGCCCCACAAACGGAGGTTGGACAGAGCATGGCTGCCGGACAAGTTGGTGAGCTTGAAACTGAGTGATTATTGTTGCAAGCCTGTGCATGTCATTTGTCACGGCTTTGTTTGCTTGAATTGAACATTTTGAGGGCTAGATGTTGCTTCTGTGATTTGGCTGGTCAGTTTGACAGCAAACTAATCAAGGCTTAGCCGATGTTTCTGCTTTATTTGTTTATTTTGTTTTTTGCAATGCATTGCAGTGCGTTTTTCAATACATGTTTCAAAATCTGTCACCTGTTATCACCAGCTTGTCCAATAATGCTATTTCACAGTTTTCAAAGTCACAACTGTATTCCAATATGGCACAGCTCATTTCTTGCTGCCTTCTGAGATCTTTTATTTTCCTATGTACTTCCTTACCTTACTGCACAGAGTATTTTGGATGCTGCTATTAACCACTTCCTGCTAAGGAGCCTGGTATCGGAGACCTTTGCTTTGTATGCATAGCCAGGGTGCCCAAAATCGGAGCCCAGAGCCCTTTTTCATGGCCGGGGTGACCGAACTCTGAAAAAACAATAGACCAAGCTGCTGGGACTTGTCCATCAAGATTCATACGCTGTCAGCACAGAGTGCTGGCCATTTATGGCGGAGGTAATCCGTCATTGTTTTGAAACAGTACCACTGTTTGCCACTTTCAGTGCCCACGGATTATCAGCGGGGATAAAAGTGCTCCATTACTCTAGCGATAAGCGAGAAAATACCGCTGCGCTTGTTTAATCTGGCTGCATTGAGTAGAGACAATACCGATGTGCAGTGTGGCAACACACTGGCCAATTCAATAAACAGGAAATAATGTGACACTGCACAGTTGGGGCTTTTTACTGGGTTGCAGGCCTGGCTGTACTACTCGCACATCAATCTAGGTTGGCTGTCAGATTAGAGTGGCCACAAGACTGTCATTTGTTTGGGTGTATGTGCCCAGTAAATGAAGATAGGAATTTTTGACAAATTTTGAAAAAGGGAAAATATGAAAAGCGCCTGACAGCATGTCCATGCTGCTAACTCCACCGGGCATGAAGTGGTTAGACTTTGTCTTGCTAAGTCACATTCATTGTTTTGGCTTACGTGTACCAGGGGTTAGCAAAGTATGGCTGAGCCTCAGTTTAAAGTAATCAATAATTCATAATGCATCACAACTATCATGAAGTGGTCAAAACACCAAATGATAAATACCGCCGCTATAAAATGCAGAATGTGTGGTAGGTAGGAAATGTGAACATTCTACAAACTTTGACTTCTCATGCATTTGATCAGCAATAAGGTCTACAAATATGTAGAGCCTGATCAGAGAGTAGAAAGCAGAACCAAAATTCTTTAGTAAACATGCATTGATGATGGTTCCTGTAAGGTTTGGGGGGGGAGTGGTTATTAAAACCAAATAATTGGTGAAAGGCCCAGTGATCTTTGAGAAAGCACAATTACCAGTGCAGGAACTCTCTGCATTATTTGATAGGAACTTACAATTCTTGGTCTTCACACTAGAGAGACCATTGTTGCCAGCAATTTTTTTTTCTTGCTGGCTGCTTTTACTATTGTTTCTTTTCCATTTCATGCTTGACATTCCTCGGCATCATCGTCACAATTCATTTTTAACATAAATTAGAACCATTATAGGAGGGTGCATTATACTTTTTCCACTTTCAGCTACACAAACCTCTCATGTCTTTTTTGGGGGGACGCACCCCTAACCCACTTGTTTCACGTCATTAACAGACCTTCCGTCGGCCCACCGCAAGTGCCCACCGTCACTGCCGCCACTGCAATTCCTTACAAAGCCCGAAATTACGATCACGCCGGCGTCCGATGCCGAGCCCAGCCCAACTCCTGGTACCCCTGGAGGGGCGGAGCTAGATGAGTCTGAGGAGAAGGGTGAGGACAGGAGAGGCTTGAGTTGTGCATGACGTTGCATAGTGCAGTGGCTTTTGTTGATATAGGATGCTTGCTTGAATCCGTTCCAACTTGGCCCCTTGGTAACACTAAAGCAGGTTAAAAAGATTTTAAAAATTGCCAGTGAGGTTTTGAAAAAGGTGCTCAATCTTCACATTCGCTAAAGTGTAGAATTTTTCTTCTTTTTTGGTGGCATCTGTAGGGATTCTCTTTTCCAATCTACGTTCTATTTCAGACAGTAGGCTTTCCAGGAATTCGGTACTGACTGGGAAAGAAAAGAACCTCGGTGATGTGGAAAATTGCTTGATCTTTCACCCCTTCAGCAACCATAGAAGGCTGCAGCACGACAGGCAATGCACCTGGCTTTATTTCTACCAGTGATACTAGCATTTGCTAGATGTATTGGCATGCTTAGCTTTGTTAGCCTTCAAAAGAGAAGGCTGGTATCCTGTGCTTGGAGCTGGAATCATTGCTGTTCCCTACTCTTATCACCGCATAGTTTTTATACATGTGCTTGTTGCTCTCTCCAGCATATCTGTCAATCAGCTTTCCTTTGCACTTGTACAGTATGATTGCACCACTCTCCTGCTCTCACTCTTTAACCCTAGAAAGGCCTGGGAGGGATTCACAGGGGTTGAATTTTCTCTACATACTTGGTGTTATGTCCTTTTTTTTCATGCCAGGCCTTACATGTACTTGTGACCTGCCTAGATCCTTCAAAATCCACCCGGAGGCTTTGGAGGATCCAACAGGATTATGGAAGAGCCTGCACTTTAGTTCTGTACATGTACATCGAGCTTGATGCTCTTGAAAGTTTCAGAATATAGAATGTGTTGTTGCTTCCTGCACAGTGCGAGATAATAATTTCTACTTTGAAGACCTTTTCCTGTAGGAGAAAGGGCTGAGGAATACTTCAGCTGATCATGGGGATACTGGGGTACTTGACCATCAGGTTTATAAAATTTGATCCTACCATTCTGTTGAAACTGTCCTTTACTGTTGAGCTGTGCCAGGGGTTTTTTCATTGGCAGCACTGCAGTAAAAATGAATGAGCATTGATGATAATTTAAAAGATTGACAGTAAGTATCTACACAAATGAACCCTGCTTGCCACCTGGCCTTGTCATAGAGTACATGTATTCCTGAAGCCGTGCCAGCTTAGCACCTCCTCGTCAAATTGCCAATGACTGCAGATAAGCTGCATATGATGTGTGGTCAAATAATAAGCACGGCAGAAGTACCCTTGTTATTCACACACTGGTGTTGACTTGGACTGTTCTTCACTACGTTAGTCAGCAGGGTCATTCTGTACATTTGAGCTCCAATTTCTGTGTGTGTTCTTGTCGCATTTGCCATGTATGATTCTGTAAGTTCAGGTTATATGTATGTTCTCTTATTTCCAATAGTGCTATTAATGCAAACAATTGGAAATGAATTTCATTGATACTTCTGTGTCATATCCCCGCCCTGAGCTAAAGTGCACCTCCTCCGGCGAAAGAAAGACAGATGGTACTAAGTTTTCCAACCGGGTTCTTGCACGCGTTCAGCGTGCACACGAAGACCACACATTCTAGACTAAAATCGTTGCGCATACTCAGTGTTCTCCACGTCTAATGCGCATAGACTTGCGCACCTATGCAATGAGTGAGTACGAAAGGACTGTTCATTTCATTTCAAAACACACCCTCTGTTGTTCCTGCTCGGAGCGGATTACACAGGTCAGGTGTAACAAGGACTCCAAATGCCCCACTTTCAGACCCTGAACTTACAGAGTGACCCAGCAGTTATGTACAATGTCGCACTTGTTCTGAAGAACTGTAGTGTCAGCATTGTCACAGTGTACTGAATGTCACAGTAACCTTGTGTTGAAATTGGGTTGATGGTGCATTAGTTGTACCCCCCTACCTCTGATGAATGGAAAGGCAAAGCCAACTGCCAAGCTAAAGTAATCAGTTGAAGTTTACCAGCCTCCACTGTTAAATTGTACAATAAACGAGGGATGATATGCGTCAACCAGTGAACTGCAAATATCATAACAAACTGGTTAGGCCTAAATGGAAGGCATCATATCTAAGAGAGCGCTCTCTCTTGCTCTGCATACGTAGCCTGTACTTTGCTTCCAAAGTGTATGCCATAACACCAATATATGGAGTTTGTTGGATGTGCGCATACTACAGTATGTGTACATACTATACATGGTCAAGTGCACCAACACCAATACCATTTGCTGTCCTTTTGTTGTGACAAATGAATTAATGAATTACCAACACAAACAGCACCCTACTAATACTTAACCTTCTTGCCAACGTTTTTGCTATCTACAAAATGCAGCAGCAGTGCTTCGTAGCATTCAAGCCCACAGTTACTGTTTGAAACATTAAATGTCTTGATTGATTCTATTGCAGTGACTGAGAAACCTGTTGAGGAACCAACCAAAGAACAGGTGAGTAGTGCCAGAGTTCCCACAGTACTCCAGGATAAGTGTGAATTGCCTAGAATTTCTGGTGGTTGGATTTGGCACGACCAGGGTTACTTTGTGACTTCGATATCCACTTTCCCTGCATGGCAAATCACACGGTTGTGTGCAAAGAGCCTTTGTTCAAGGAGACTGTTAAACAATGTCAGTTACAGTCTTCAAGCAGATTTGAATCCCTAATCCTGATTGGCTGATCCATGGTGACACATTGTGGAATACATTATCCACACCGCACTATTATGGCTTTATTTCAAGGGTAAGCATAATTGCATCCCATTAGCAACCTGACTATTAGGCAAAATTGATGATGAGTGATATCCCATTTGTGCCTGGGGAACCGTAAATCATGTTTCAAATCGCTAACTGCAGTGATATGGGATATTTTTATGTGGTTCCTTTTAGGGACCTGTGCTGTGCCATTCTTTCGTGAAGGGTTAAAAAGTCCATGTGCCATATTTCAGAGTTGTCATAACGTGTTACTACATGATACCAGTATGTGAAACAAGCAATGCTAACTTTGCAAAGCAGAAGGAATCAAAACTTTGAAACAGACCCCTGGTTTTAAACCAGACCCTTAAGTTTGCTCTGTATAGTCAAGTCCCATCTCAAAAAGGGTTACAGATCTCTTCTTAGACCAGTCGCAAGGAACAACAACAAAGCTCCTTTGAATAGCCTGTGACTGTGATTGGCTTGCTTGTGGCGGACTTGCAGGGGCTTATGACAAACTCAACTACAACACTGATGTACTCCTCTTACAACGCATTCCCAGCTGTCTCACTGAGACAAACTAGACTGCTTATATCATCAGGGAAAAGACCTTGTGGGAATTTCCCTTGTTTCCACATTAACATGTACAGTAAAATCTCGATAACTCAAAGTTGGTTAACTCGAAACTCCACTTAACTCAAAGAATAATTAACCCTAACAGTCCTGAATCCTCAAATTTAATGTGATTTTGCACACACCTTAGGGAGTTAGGGTTAATTTCCACCGAAAGCATAGGCTTTTATGTACAAAACATATCCTTAACTCAAACTGCTCATGTTGCCGGATTCGTTTACCTCGAAGTTTTTATGAAGCAGATCCAAAAGAAACCGCCGCCAAAATACTTCCAGAAACTGTAAGCAGAACGTGGGTCTAGTTATGAATCATTTCTGACACGCACACTTTGTCTTTTCACACAGGAACACTTGCAAGCGCGCTACAATGATGATCGATCTAGACACGTAAACCACACCGTGACCGCAAAATCCGACTTGCAGGAATTAGCCCAGTTGTTACCGTTGGCCCATTGTAGAGAGTGCGTTGGCACGCTAACTGATGGCTCTTTGCAGTGGCTGCGGCAATGCATAGGAGATCTTTGTGTATGCCGCACGCACCACGTTAAAGTCTGGCCTAATGGTCCGGCCCAACTGCTTGCACTCACCCTTGCGATGGCGGCCCAATTAGAGCCACAAAACAAAGCATGCTTATGCGCAGTGGACCAACCACGTGACTGCAGTGCAGAGTTTTTGCGTAGCCAAATCTCACTCCCAAAAATAAACAAACGTTTGAAAATAAAGAACGAAGAACAAAAAATAAAAATAGACACCAATAGTATTTTTGTCTTTATGAAATTCTATTGAAGCGCAAAAAGGTGCGCCCTCATGTGATGAAAAAAGTCGTCTGACTCATCGGGAAACCCCGCCCGAGTACACGGTATCAGAAATGGGACCACCACAATACATCACACATGCACAATGCAAAAGAAAGATTTGCCACTCAAAGGTACACAGTGTAAATGATTTATAGTACATGTAATGTATTATTTATCAGCCGTTGACAACAAAAATCCTCTGCAAAAATGTCTTTCTATGAACAAAAACTTGTGGCACCAAAGTATAAAATAACCACAATATCATTTCAAAAGTCATCGTAGGGAGGTTTACGGTAACTGTGCGCTCAGCGTAGAGGTACATGTTATGATACACATCGTAATAATGACTTAACTTCAAAAGAAATCGGGACCTTCTTTTAACTTTAATTTCGGATAACTCGAATTTTTTATCCATTCCCCAGAGATTCAAGGTATCGAGATTTTACTGTACATGTATATGAAGGAATCACTCATAAAGACAATTTGGCCTTGCTATAACACTCAAAGTAAAAAAATTCCTTCCACTTGACATATTGCATAGACACATAGGGGTTATTTGACTGATTTTGACTAACCCATTAGCCTTGTCAAGAATACATCATTACAGTGGAGGGATAACCATGGAGCACACAAACGGCAAGCCTTTTTGCTCAGTGCACCGACATAACGTTGCCACTCATTGTCGTTTGTTTGGGGAATTCTTTTTTCCTTGTAGGATGTACCAAATGACGCTGCCCCCTCAGAGAGCATCGATAGCCTGAAAAAAGATGCTGTACAGCACGACGGTATGAACAATGGTGAGAGCGTGGCCCCTGCTGCTGCTGCCGTGGCTGTATAAGCTCCCTGTTCAGGCCCGCAATTACGTTGAATATTCAGTAAGTGTAGGAATACTCAGTTGACTGTATGAATATTCATTGGATTTTTATGTAAATTACGATGACGCCAGTCAGAGATCAGTGAATCCTCCCACAATATTCATGTTTTGAGAAAGAACGAATTTATTGAAAATTTTGTGATTTTTAGAGGTTTTTAAAGAAAAGAATGGAGGTTTGAAGATGTCAGTTTGAGCACCATGTCATTAATCTCATATCTGTTGGTATTTGCTTTCTCATAACCTTTTTACATGTTGAAAATCATTCACTGTTTTGGAACCACAGGCTCATTGCGACCAGCTTCATGTAAAGTAATATGGTTGGTGGCAGAATTTGATCATCCTGAGCCCTACAGAATCTTGAACCTCCTAGTAGATTTGTAAAAGAATCTGGAAGGGCCAGGATAGGGTATGTTTAAAGGTTTTCAATGAAGAACTCATCAGACCTGCAACGTTTATGAAGGGATTTCTAGTTTTGGAGTAATTTCCACCTCACAGCAAAGTCACATGTACATTACATTTAGGGGTTACAAGTTAAAACTGAAAACAAATGTTAATGTTTATAGTCTTAATGACATGGTTTTTCTGTCCACGGACACCTCCGATGATATTTTTATTCAATTATGTAAAGTAGGGATTTAGCTAGACTTTTGTGTTTTTCCATTTCCAAGTGGGCTTTTGAATGATAATCTGTTATGTCTGCTAGGTGTATACATGTGCTCCATAGTTGTTGTTATTCTTCTGCAAATGGAGTATAAAATATTGAAAGATAGTGTTAGAAAGAAGTTAGACAGCCCTGAATAAATAAATGAGAGTCTTGGATATTCAGGGTAGGTAATATTGATATTTGTTACCCTGTTTGGGAATCAGATATAACTATATTGCAAACATCTCAGACCTTATGTTACACCCACTTGTTTCGTGATTGCCCTCAATGAATGATCTACATGAATGTGTTAATTGAAAGAGTTTGAACTCCTTGGGACCCGGTTGGGAAGTCCATGTGCATGTCATAAGCTTACACTTGCTGCATGTGGAACCTCAGAGGTGTGCACTGTTGGTTGGGTATGAACCATCTACCGTGTTCATGACTTGAAGGGTGTTTCTGAAAGGTGGTAGAGAAAATAACAGTGAGGGGCAGTGACTGTGGTGGAAAGGTGATCTCAAATATTGACTTGATGTCTGCAGCGCAATCAAATTACTGATTTATTTGGCTGTGTGTGCCACTTCGTCCTCACTGAAAACACTGACATTGCAGGTGGAAACAGTTCAAAGTGTTTCCTTTTTTTTCAAGATTATGTCACCCTTTCCACACTGAATTACCCAGCGTGTGTAAATGTTTACATGCATATTATTTGTCAGAACAAATCACCTGGGCATAATATATGGCTAGATCACTCTCAGAGCAGCTTGAAGAAACATCTCTTCTTCCTGTGTCACAGGCAGACTTCGAGCAGTCCTGGCCATTTGCAAGCTCACGTTGCACAAAGAACATTATGTTGTGATTATTATCCCATCAGTTCAGAGAACGTCCTGTTATCAGTGATCAAGCTCTTGTCACAGTGAGTTACAGGTAAACACAAAATGTTAAAATGCTGCATGCACAGAAACCACCCCTGTTCCATGCTACACGAGCAACTTGAGATATGCCACGATCTTTTGATGACTCTGCCACGTAAGTGACAGCCTTGAAGTAAATCACTCAAGTTAACAAGTGTCATACCTTGATGGGGTAGGGCCTTACGTACGTGTAATTGTATATACAGGGCAGCATTGACAGGTTTTGTCTTTTATAGCTACAGTGGTAAGCAGAGAAAAATGTTGGAATGAACAGGCATATACATGTATTTAGCTAGCACTCTGGCTGTAGATATAGTGCAGTTTACAGCATGCGATCATCATGTTACAGAATTTAGCGGCTGATGCTGTTTTGTTGTCAATATACATGTATAATGTGGTGTCATTGCTTAAAAGTTAGGTCTCCGGGGTCTAGTTTCCTGTTAGGTGCTGTGTTGTACAACAGCCATAGTGTGAGTGCAGCGTCCTGCCCATAGGATCATGACTGTGCCAGGTCTTGGCTTGGCCCGGCAATAGCAAACACACCTTTGGAAGTTAGCAGGCCAGTGACTGCAGCAATTTTCTGACTGTGTTTATGCCAGCCGTAGCCATGAGTTAAAGATGTAGCCGGGCTCCTATCAGGCTTGGTGGCCTGTCCAGTATTTGGCTGGGTGTCTGTGTAGTAGAAGGCTATCACACCAGTAGGTCGTCACGAGATTTCAAGAGTATGACAGTGTGAGAGGAAATTGCCAAAATTTGTCATTAGTGTGTTCAGATTCATTTTGTTTTAACAAGGGGTTTTACTTGTCCAGGAAGGCTCATGCCTGAGTTTGGTATGCTTAAATATGACTGTCGAGAAATTATTACATCTTTTTTAATTTGGGAAAGAGGTTATCTACCATTTTTTTCAGGCACTCAGAATGTGTTGAAGGACCATTTCTTAAAACCTGCAAAGTGTTTATAGTTGTAATTCCTCCTTAACTTCAGAAAAGATGTCCCGACTGCATCATTAACCTGTACCAGGGTATTTGTTAATAGTCACGGTAACATGTTTTAGAGGGATCGAAGAGTGGTTGTAGCTCGAAGGCAACTTCAAGTTGGTCACACATCTGGTTCCAACGTCTCATCTCTAGCTCGTTTATGTGCTCTTCAATATTTTACAGTGAGTGACGTTTATCAACTTACACGTGTAAGGGTGTGTGTGTGCACCCAAAACAGGGTCCCGTTTTTGGATCTGTGTGTTGTATAGGAGCTCTCTAAAAGCTGTCAAAAATTTCCTTTGACTCTAAACGTGGAGGCTGGCATAGCTCTCACTTGTTTCAACAACTCATATGATCATTGCCATTTTTAAAGCACAGTCACTACTCGATTGTGTTTTACAGCGTCTACAACAATCGGCCGATTGAAGGGCAAAAAATTGAAGAATATATTTTTACCGACTAACTGCATTTAGCGAATATTGTGCCCGTCTATTTTTAGACTGTAAAAAATCTGTTTTTTCTCTCTTGTCCTGACTTCTTAGTTTCCTACAACCTGTGCGTGTATGCACATGCAGTGTAGTCAGTTAAGTGTAAGGTGAATTGCAATTACAATAGTCTACATGTATAATATGTGAATTCTAATACGCTCGTCATAATTATACTATATGGGTTTTCCTTGTCTTTTCATTGCCTTGGGAATATGAAACTTGAATTGTTTGAATGAGTTACCACGTGGAACCCCCCCTTCTGTGCTTGTTTAGCGCCTTGTACGAAGTACGCAATGTTGTGTGTGGCGTGTTGATAGTCTCCCGAATTGACAGTATAAATTCCATTTTAAAAGAAAAGGGTTTTTGCAGCAGAGGAAATCCATTGGGAAATGAATCGGAACGCATCGGTTGCAATTGCTGTTTATTAGTTTGTGGTACAAAAAATGGTTTGATTGCAAATATTTAAATATAACTAAATTTTGGAAGGAAGTAATTTAAAAGGCTGTGTATAAATCTCACTGATAACAAAGCTGAGTTGATGGATGTACGTTGTTTTGTTGTGAGCCACATTTACGGTAGACCCCCACCTTCCGTGGGTTTCTGAGTGAACTTCTGACGTCACTTACATGTCATTGATCAGCTGTTTAGCAGCCACTTCGAGGAAATAAAATACGTTGTACATTTAACTTGCAGTGTCTTTGGACCCACCAAGTGGCGTTAGAATTCCCTTCAGAGAAAACTAGACTTCCGTATAAAACACTTAAGCTTTGGTCCTTTTTAATCTGTACATTGGCTTTCCATCAATACTCGCTCAAGAAATAGTTGATGTGCATCCATTTTTCTAACTAAATAAACCACATGAAACAGATTGTCTCTATTCTCCCTTAAAAGCTGTAAATTCAAATTGCGTATGAACTGTAGAATACATTTAAATTTTCCCTGTCGAAGAATCTTTCTGTGTTGTTAGACTGTCCTTTGACAAGGGAACAGTTGGAGAATCGCTTTGCTAAGCTTTTGGCACACGTGATATTCTTATTTTTGAGCTTGCTTTCAGACCAAAACAGAACTGAACTCAATTCTGCTTTCGTTTAGTTAATAAAAGAGAAGGATTTGATCTGTGTTTGACGTCTCTCTACAATTTGTGTCTGCTTTAGTTCTAAATAAATCATGCACACACATGGAACTTGGAAAGGAAATCTTTAACTTGCACATCTGTGCTTTTGTTGCACTTTTGTTTACTTGAAGGTTTCATTTAATGAGCGGAAGGAATTTGTATTAGGCAACTTTGCGTCGAATCTCGACTCGCTAGGTGCACTTATCAATTATAAAGGACAGAGAAATTGACTTGGGTCGAACCTGTAATCTTCAGAGACTCCTTTTTTAAAGATTAACAACGATGGACGCGCATGGATGTCCTATTTCGCTATAGGCAGCTGTTGGCAGCTTCTAGGCGGGCCATTACACGGGGGCTCATCAGTCGACCTGGAAGACTTTGATGTGGTGAATGATAAGAAGCAGTCGTGTGACACGTAGGGCACTGTTATCAGTCCATCTTAACCCACTGTTAAATCATGGAGAGCACGGCCTCCGTTCTACCATACAAGCGAATGAAAAGTTGGCCCATTTAGCATACAATCCTTGTCCATAAGTTCAGCATATTGGCATGCATCTGTGTCATTTTATATGACGCGAAATTGGTCGTGAAGTAAATAATAGTCTTCAAGGCTGTCCTGTCAAGAACCAGACAGGGATTGAGGTGGCGCATCCAGCAGATGGGTTTCAATTTCTCGCTGTGACTTCTAAAACGAAAGGATTGCCTTTTTATAACACTCTGCAGTAAACTTAGAAAAGGGGGGAGGGTTCTTTCGTGTTGGTTGGCAGGTTACTGAGCTTACTTCCAAACAATGAGCTAATTTTGAGTGAAAATGCTGGCCAAACGTCTGTAGTACACGTAGTGTACCCCACGTTCTATTTGAACTAAGTTTCGAAAACGGATTTCAGACTGGACTTTCACAACAGTTCGACAGTTTTTGGACAAGGGACATCAGCAGTGCGTTCCAACATTGGAAGATTTTACTGACGGAGAATCGAAGATATTGGCACTGTTTTCTTTTATAACACCCTTAAATTGCGCTATTAAAGAAAAGTACTCGGCGTCGTAACAGATGGGAAAAGAGTGAACCAAAAATTGTGCCAAGATGGGAGGTGAAGCTCAGAGTAGAATGCCCCCTCCCGATTTTTGAAGGGGGGGGGTGGGCTTGAACAGCTTCTCTTCGGCGGCTGAGGGATCTTTTTTTTGTTTGGCTAGGCTTACCTTTGGTATAATAATTCTTTTTATTGGTTTCTTAGTGGTTTTAAACCGCGATTCTAGGCGCGACTTCTCCATTTGAAAGCACCCGTCTCTGTCAATATACAGACTGCATATCCCCACATTAATCATACAATTGTGTGTGTTATTGTTTTGTTTTTAATGCCAATCGGTAAATGACATACTGTAACCATTTTTAAAATTTGGAATACATCAGTGATCAAAGACTTGGTACGAGTTTGGCTAAGACTGACCAACAAATTGTTGACTTAGGGCCTACTTGAAAGGTGGACTGAAAGCTAGTCTTAGCCAAATCGTACCAAGTCTTTGAACACTGATGTATTGGGGGAGGAGAATAAAATTACAAACTTTGCTTGGGTAATGGAACAGATAGTGTATCAAAATTTTAAAAAGGTTTATTTACGATGGCAAAAGTAGGTCTAACTTTGTCAAGGATTTTTTCTCTCTCTATTTCCTGGTCACAGCAATAATTTGTATTTAATTGCAAGCAAAAACTACAAGTATTGCTAGGATATTACTGACCTCGCTTGTTGTCCGGCTATTGCTCGCTAAGATACAGGCAGTAATCAGACATTTTTGGAATGTTTTCTAGTATTCATCTGACTCAGCGGCGATCATCATTGAACACTTTGGAGTGCAAAGCCAGAGTTGCAACTCTTGTGTCCTTCCATGTGGTCATGCTAAATTGAAAGCGACGTTAATGTTTAATCTTAGAAAATAAGAGAAATGGAAGCAATAAAATGGAAATTTACAATAAATTAGTACATGTTTGCTAAGTTTTTTGCCTGCTAGATGCGCATCAATACACTGAAGGGATAGCACCTTAAGAGACAAACTGAAAGTTAACAGGAGGCATACATTTTCAAGCTTTGATTTCGTAGCAGCTTCACCTTCAGGCTCACTCAATGTTTATTCATCTGTCTACTGTGATGACTAATACCTAACATTTCTTATTAAAACCTCTGTTTAAGCTTGATTTAAATCCAAAGCAAGGCTTGGTATATACGGAGTCATAAAATGGTCGAATATCATGTCACTCAACAGTATACATTTTGCAAAACAGATGAAAAAAGGGCCTAGTGGATGACGTCTCTCTGATGAGGGACAAGCATGGAGCAACAAACATCAGAGGTTACAAAGCGTTGGATCTGTGTATTGTTGTCGTTACGTAACCCATTGTTACATTTTAATACATGTCTGGCTTTAAGCCAGAGCAATGTTTACAGTAGCTTGTGCGTGGGGGCAACGATGGCAGGATTTTCCACGCACAGTAGGAAGAAATATTCGTGTATACGTGTTGAACGTAATGGAGTGTGAGAGAACTAGTGGTGTTTACCGGAGGAATTAGTCGTATTCCTTTTGAAGACGAGGCTTACATCTCCAAAACAAGGCAGGGACAGTGGATTTCTATTTTGAAAACTTATTCTAGTTTGCACCGTATAGGCTTATAGCAAATGGTATAACAGACAAAAATTACCGTAAATATGCGACGATAATTTTAGCATCAAAACAGATATCATCCAAGCAGCGTTGCAATATCGTATTTAATCTTAATTTATCATGTATATGTAATCATGGAGGATTTGCGTCAGGACATTGCAATATATATATTTTGTATTTGGTGTCTTTGCCCTCCACGGACGAATATTTAATTAACGCGGAATTCTCAGTGTTTTCCAGGGTCAAGTTTGACTGCAGCAGGCCCGTTGTATTTCCTTGTACATGTACATCATGTTGCAAAAAGTGACAAATAATGCCGTAGCTTGGGGCAAAACCTGGGGAAAGGTGCGCACTGACCTTAATTTTTAAAGTATAAACAGAAACTGTACTTCATTACTCTTAGTGGATAATACGTCACAAGGTAGAATATGAGGGAAGAGAGCGAATCTGATCAACCATGTCCACACTCTCCCGACGCTGCTGCTCTGTGAGAATAACCCGCACAAGAACAACCCTATTCCTCCTGGTGCTTGGCTGCTGCGCTTGCTACATCTACGGACGCCTCTTCTTCGGAGGAACGGAATTAACACAGGGTGGGGCAGTCAGCAGGAATGCTGGAAGGAAGGACGTTGGAGAGTCAGCGGCAGGGGAGGCTGCAGAGGGCGTGCTTGTTATGGTCCATAAACTTGCATTTGGAGGAGTGGAATTAGGGGCTCGGCAATCTCAAGACTTTATTGAAGCTGGGGGCAAATCTGCTCTTAGACTGAGAAGGGAGTATGTATCAGGTAAGTAGCCATAGTAAAATTGTTCCTGGGAGGGTAGTGGTGGCAATGTGGGCGGCTGATATGTGGATGAAAACCATAACGATCTTAGGACTTTTGCTCATTGACTTTACCTACAAGGACACTATCTCTAACTCCTTTTGCGCCACTATTTGTAACCCCGTTTGCGAGGTCTGTGTTTATTTTTCTTCAGACATCGGTTAAAGTGTAGCTGCATTGAGGTTTTCTTAGGCACAATACTTCTGTAACTTGGTACTCTTCTTTAATATGTGAAAACTCTTTTGTACTCCAGTTTGGTTAAATGCATTGAAAAGTACCACTTTTGAAGCACTCAAAATTATCAATGGTTTCCTGGATATGAGGGCGCTGTTGCTGTGATGTCATCCAGGGAAGACAAAGTTTTGTAGAAAGGTATTTCTTTTATCATTGAATATACGTTTTACGAAAAACATTTTTGTGAAAATGACTGATGCCTAATTATTTCTATGCACATATACATGCTCATGAACATGGAAATATCATTGGCATAACAACAAAAAAGACGGTAAAATACCCTTTGAAACGGTGCAACAAAAGTTGAAAATAAGGGTAACTGAGATGCAACTTTTTGTGAAAAGAAAATTATTGCAGCTACCCTTCAACGCTAAACAAATCTAAAGGTTATTGATGACACTGACCTAATGTCATTTTTGTCAAAACTGAAAAAAATAGGTCGAAAAATACAGCTTCAATGGGGAACACGTTTTGCTTACAATGGGTACAACATGCGAATTAATGAAAACGACGGCGGTAAATGACGGTTGAAAGAATAGATGTGACAAGGGAATTTGATCTTTTGGTGAGAATGAGGTATAAAATAATGACGATTAAAACCTGACTTTAACTTCATTGAAGGTGACTTTGTATGATAGGAAGTTAAGGGTAACGACGACAAAAACTGGGATACGATTTAAGCAAAATTACCACGAAATTTGCAGTGGCAGTGAATTAAATGTGATGTCGCCAACAAAATGATATTGATAATTAGGAAAAACTTAATCTACCAATGGGAACCAATGATGTGGCTGCTTGTAAGTAAAATAAACCGCGACTCCTCCGTCTGCTTTCGTTTAGTACAAAGTTCATCTCACGTGTTTACCTGATGGATTCCTTGCTAGGTGACTACCAAGCCTAAAATTCAATAAGTTGTTTACACTCCTGCGTGTTGTTTGCACGGGCCGTTTCATTGTTACTCTAGCGCAATCCCTGCGCATTACCGTCCAGCATGGCAGTGTGGTCTTGAACATTACCATAATGCCACGTAGACGGTCAATACGACTTTATTCTGTCCTGGGTGACAACTTCTATTCTGCGTGTCAGACATTGTTCTACCAGTGTTGCTCTTCATCGAAACTGTGAGCAAGTGCAAGGTTTGCCTGTTACATGTACGTCACCCTACTGCGTTAGACGATTTATAGCAGAGTTGTGCCAACAGCGTGAAACTGAAAGAGCTCTGGTAATGAATAAACAATCAAGTAAGAGAAAACTCTACCAAGCTGTGCGAGTACAAGTGACTTTCTGAATTAGTTCAGACAGCAGCAACACAGATTCACCGTGCACTTCCATGTACATGTAATTAACTTGGTTGTGTTGAGAACTCAGATGAGACGATCTCGTGGATATGAGGTATGATATGCTGGGCTTTCGACACTTACCGGCCAGAATGTTCCGTTACAAAGGCCTATTGCTCATAATCTTCGCTCTATGTGCCTTGAGTTTCTATTTCGGCCGCTACCTGCACAATCATGATGAACCCAATACACTTCAAGCGGAGAAAAGTCCAGGTGACAGGCCTGCTTTACCAGCAAAACTCGCAAACGAACCCCAAGACCTACCCCAGGTGAGAGAACAGGTCATGAGTCGAGGAAGACCGAGACCCTTAACCTCTCAACCAGCTGTCAATCATTTTGTGTCAGGTATACATGTAAATTTCTGTTCATTTTCTTCGCTCTTTTAAATTAAAATTTATTGACTCCGTGAAAAAATCACGAATGTGCGGAGCTTTGGGATTGTCATCCGACTTGTTAGGATTCTGTAAGACTTAGTGATCGAGAGATAAACAGGCAAGATATCGACGGATAGTCTACAGGAAAGCGAAATCCTCGAATTGGAAGTCGACATCTTAGTCTATTAACATGATTAATTTAACACGGGTTGACGATATCTTAAAAGTAATCAATAATTATTTATACTGTACATGTCATCATCCAGTGATCAATAATCTCAGGATGTCAACTTCCTATTTCTTCCCAAGCTGTCGTCATCCCTTATGGTGTCAACTTTGTATAGGCCTACATGTACAGGGGTATTTTCAAAATTATTTCATGTCGGAATAAATCATCTCACGTTGTCGACATCTTGCTTGTTACATGTCGTCATTTTGTGCTAGGATCTGAAGCCGTTTTTTTTGTCCGTCTTCGTCATTACCTGTGGCAACGGCATTTGCATCACAATAATCATTTTGTCACCTTAATCTAACCATGTCATGGTGTGTTGCCATAAGTCGCCTCACGCAACTATTTACTGTTCTCTCGCCATGTAATTGATATTTTCACTTTCAGCTGGGTGGTTTTTGAAGTGGTTTCAAAAGCTTTGAAATCCTCCTGTGCCTACATTGTTGGTGTGTATATTTTGATTCTGAGAGTCTGCGTAGCCCATCCATTTTTTTCGTAGACACCATGCAGAGTGCTTACTGTGTCTACAGATAATCTGGCCCCGACGGACGACTATGACGTCACCAGACAGCAGTCCATCGATCGTTGGCACATCAAAATGTTTTGATACGTTTATTGCATGTGACGCCCTGGTAATCCTGTATTTCAATACGTGTTTTTTGAGTGAAGAGTAGTTGATTCCAGACTGAAGCCCTTCCTATATAAAAACGACTTTGGATAGGAAAACTAAATAACGATACCCAGATCAGCTAGAGCTGTCTGGCATTCACATTGCTCTGTCATGACTAAGTGCTCCGTCATTTTGCATGCATAATCCCGCCGAAGTCCTACATGGAGCTGAGTGTGGTTACTTTTTTCAAGTGCTTTTTGAGATATGATGGAACCCATATCTGCTGATGCACCTGTTCCTTAAATCGACCTCCATTCAGTTTCACACCCAGGACACAACTTTATTTTTGTTCGGTATAAATTTGATTTCATTCGCGGGTAGCCGTGACAGCCCTTTGCACCAAAGGCCAAACCCCTAGATAATGGACTTTTATCTCCACAGTCGGCACATAATCACACACTGTAGGCCTATAACACCACGAAGAGGTTGGCTGTTGCACGCAATTTACATGGTGCTTTCAGGCATGACAGTTAAGTCAGTTTGATATGAACATTGGACATTCCCATAGGTTTGTACAGCGAATGTCTGATTTTTCCAGACATTGGACATTCCCTGTACAATCCTATGGGAATGTCCACTGTGTCGAGAAAAATCCGAAATTTGCTGTACAAACCTATGGGATTGTCCAATATCAAACCTACTTTACTGTCTACAAGTTTAGAATTTGGCATATTGACTAAAAACACTTCCACTGCATACCACTCAGGCTAATGAGTTGGCCTTATGGGCAAACCTGCATGATGGCACCGAGGAAAATGGCGACACTCTTTGCTTGGCAAATCGGCTTCATCGCCGGCTCTGTGTTATTGGTTATTTAATGGGAAAATGGCTGCATTTCTTCTGTGAGAACGATGTATCCCTTGTGGAATTACAAGGATTTGATGGGGGGGGGGAAAGAGGTTGGATACTTGATAGCTGCTGGTAAAAAGGCCAAACATATCAAGCAGTCTCTTGGAAGACCGTTGAAATTCTTACCGGGTATGTACAGTGGTACATGTATATGGTTGCGAGTCTCTTTGCTGCATGCAGCGCCATATTCCTAGATTTTTCTGCTTTTTTGTCATACATACAGCAGTGTATGTTACAGCTATATTAGGGCCGTGTTTGATTCGTCCAATCATCCTTTGCCTCTTGTTGAACACAGGTGATTCAAAATAGTGCGCCTCCAAGAGTTTGCAACGCGTTAGCCAATCACTACGCGCTAAATTTGTCGACCCTTTCCAAACGAGCATTGGGTCGACAGAGGCACACTAATGTGAATCGGCCGTATTATTCATTAAAAAAAAGAATTCAATACCAGTAATTAACTTAATTAATTTCTTTAGTCCGGTTGAATTAGAATCTCAAAGACTGTCCCTACTCGCCGTAGTCATTATTCTTCTGTGTACAGCTGCTCATTCATTAGATTCTATTTCCATTTAAATGCCAGTACTTGTAATTAACAGTACCGCGGGGCAACAGGATCTTGCATCAGGCTAAAATAATTTTAAATCAATGGCTTTTAGAAATATCAAAGCCAACAAAATAATGAAGGGTGATTTGTCCGGTTAATTTTTAATTTTGCACCCCCCATATAACATCACACCTGAGGAACCCCTCTTGGTTAATCATTTAAAAAATGGATTCCACGTTCGCTTTCGGAAACACAACCTTGTTAAGTTTATTTTGTCTCTGTTGCAGCCTTAAATAAGACGTGGATGACATGGACAGATATCAACAGTCCGGGTGTCTACCGAGCCTGCGTACCGAGACCAAGGGACAGCGTGTCAATGTCAGAGGTCGTGACAGGTGGTTTAGTGGAAAAGTCATCCATGATGACAATCACGCACTGTCTGAACAGCTGCATCGCTTTGGTAATTCTTATTATTTGAATTTATATTTTATTGAGTGTCTTTCTAGCTATAAAATAAGCTTTCTTGAAAACTTCAATCAGGCAATGCACCCCAGAAGGAGAAAACAAAGACGAATCAGGTTTAGCGAGAGGGTGGAAGGAAAAAGGCGGACATTCCTGGGAAAACCCATGAGTTCTGGTTAAGACTGGAAACCTAATTCACCCAATCCATGATCAGGGTGAGATTTGAATCCAGGTCACATGGTGGGCGATGGAGAAAGCACTATCCTTGTAGCTTCTACTTAAAGAAAATCAGGCTCGCCGTAACTCCAGATCTCCAATCACCATCCAGTCAAAACTTCTGCTTTATTCACATCAACTCTGAACAGTAACAGAACTTAGCAGCTTGAAGTTGAACACATGTAGATTGACGGACAGATCTGATTACAGGTTCACTAATGAGACAAATGAGAAATCATTACATATGTAAATAAGCTTACAATATTTTACCCCAGTAAACACGTGCATCACTGCATGTACAAATGCATGTGGTTATAACGTGTATACAACGGCCCAAAACTGCTAAATTGTAGTGACGATACACATGGAAATTTCCCACAAATATCCCTTTCACCTCAATTTATTAGAGAACGAAGACCAATACATTTTTAAAGAATGTGATTTGTTCTTACCGACACTTGTGGAACACGACAAATGAAATATTTGGCACACCCTAAATTTCAACATAACATGTGAAAAATTCTTAGCGTTGAGCGGTGTTCTAGCTCCTTCACTGGACTAAATCAATTCCTTCACAAGTGGGCGCTCGACCGCTTTGCTGGCCCGCACTTTTCGCTGCTACAATCCTGTCTTAGTCAAATTTAATTAAGGGAAACCCATGTCTCGCGCGAAAAGGAATGTACAAATTAAATGCAATTGTAATTTAAAACCCCCGGATGTGCATCAACCAACTTTCTTTTCTCGCTTCCAGGGTTTTACTTATGCCGCCCTCAGTCGCGGTGCTGAGTGTTTCTGCACTGACGTCAAGGGCGAGTCCGCCCTGCTGAGCTACAAAGACAGTGCCCTGTGCGACATCCCTTGCGGAGGGGAGCCAAGATACCACTGTGGGGGCCGGGACTATATGTCTCTTTACCGAACGTCGGTGCCAGGTACTAACGCAACCGGCCAAACATACTAATGCCGATTTCTCTTAAATGTGAACCACATTCAAGGGAGAAAAGGAGAATTTTCTGTTCGAAATATGAGAGGACCGTTCAATTACTCCCGTTAAAACGTGCAAACAGGATCCTAAATGTAGTGCCACCATTAGAAAAAGCCATAAAATTTTACATGAAAATATTTCAATGTTTTTGCCTCCCCCAACCAAGCATTCTTGCCCCCAACCTCGAAATAAATTTCGGTTTTTGATCCACTCTTGACAACACGAAATGGAAACTGTGTTGAAGTTGACCAAGAACCAAGGGTTGTATTCTGAATGTCATCACACTTCAGTACAACTAAGATTAATTTTCGTAAGAAAAGTACAGACGGGAAAACTCTAGCAGTATATTAACCTGTCCAATACAAAACTGCGTAGCCGAATTTCACTTTGTCGAAAGTTATCAAAAATGGGCATGTGCTTCGAGTTAGTTGGAGAATGTTTGGATCATGTTCTTGCCCACCCTACAAGGTAAATGAGCTTTCCTAAGCCGGGGTGTTATTGGCATCAGCGATTGTGTATGGGGCATAACTGCCACGGACGACTTAATTTGATGATGAATAAAAATATGAGTCAGGTTCCCAAACCAGAAGATACCGACCACTTTGAGAGATCTGTACGCCCAGTAGAGAATTCTTCCCTTTTCGGACAATTTTGGAAACTTACCTAAATTGTTAAAGCCTATATTTCGTTGATTTTCTGGTACTGCTATCAATATCCGCAAACATCAGGTGTATATAAATTGCTTCTCTTTGCAATTATCCCCGCATGCATTAAAGTTCTTGAAATGGTTCGTCATTATTTCCTGGCAATGTTTGCATATTTGACTCCAATTTTGATAGACTTTGAGCACATTGACTGTTTAAAAAGTATATTTTACTAGTGCATGTATAAGGGACATCCTAAATATGACGTCATACTTTGTTATAATCGGTGGCTATCTGCCTGCAGGCCTATATTGCACTACCATGGCGACTGAATATGAAGTAAATCGGACGGTTACAGAACTTTGTGTTTCTTGATGCTTGGGTTGTAAGTTTGAACTCAATATATTAAAGTACCCACTACCCACCGAGCTCATATTTCTACAAGTAATACTTGTCAAATAATTTCCCACACCGTTTTTTGCAATCACCGAACTTAAATATTGCAGTGTAAATAGCTGCACATGGACATACTTTAAATTATTGTGTCGTTCATTAAGAAGAGTACAATGTGTTTCTTTGCTGTACAAACGGACAGACTCTCGGTGTTCCCGAATCAAACTGAAACCCAAGGGAAGTATGCCACTGATTGCGCTAGCCAGCTACCCCCGCTCAGGTAATACCTGGACACGGCAGCTCATTGAGCGGGGGACGGGGTTCCTGACTGGCAGCGTCCATTGGAAGCACGAGAAGGAAATGGCAATCTCCAGTAAAAGTAGGCTTGAGAATTGGTCACACATAATAATATCATAATGCCTACATGTAGGCTACTTCGGCTTGTTTTTGTGTAATTTTGTGGAATAAAAATCAAGGGCCACACGAGGGCCCTTTGCCTTCCATAGTATAACTAGGTCTAGGAAGACTTCACAAATCTAGAAGGTCAAGAGTCATGTCAATAAAGGAGCGTGGTGTACATTTTATTTTTAAATTTCGAATGTATAACAGTGCTCTCTTCTTCCTCGTTGATTTGAATGCAAAGTGATGACATGATATGTTTTTGAACTCGTTGTTGGACATGTCTTCCTAATTAACGGAATTATTCTGTCACCGAGAAAAAACACTAAAAAGTCCATGACCCAAATGTCTTACACAACATTTTAATACAAAAACGCAAATATCAGAAGATACAATTTTCGGTACTGTGTTACGAAACCTCGTCATTTTGAGATTTCTGCGTTTTGTTGTAGCTTCTTGGCTCGAGGGTTTTCAATTTTGAAGCTATTGCAATAAACAGAATCAGATTTGCATTGTCTTCAAGCCAGTTTGCTTGGTGAATGCAGACTTGTGAACCGAATTTGAAGCAATGAAACATCTGTAGCCAAATTCACTTGACTTGAACCGAGTTCAACTTGTGCAACTTCACCGCGTGCATTTTGGATCTGACGTCACAAATGTTTGCACATTTGCGTGAAGAACGAACCGGCCTTTAAATCAAGAAATGCTTTCCGCCGAATCCCCGTTGTTTTCTTGTAAATCCAATAACGTACTTTCACCTTTTCCCCAAGTTTTCCCAGGTGGCAACATCGATTACCAAACCAGACAGACGGTCTGCGTCAAGTCCCACTTAAGTGACACGGCTCACATCAAGACGTTCGAGGGTGCCATTTTACTCATACGTAACCCTTACAGCGCCCTCGTAGCCGAGATATTCCGGAGGCTGATGCTGGACCAGGAGAAGTCGGCAGAGGAGACGGTGAAATATTTTGATTCTCCAGGTAATGCCAGATCATAACAGCCGTATACACAGAAGAGTTAAAAGGTGCTAGTTGGAAAATTTGTGTTCATGAAAGGTATTTGTAATCTTCTGTCGCTGGCATTAATGTCGTGAACTGAAACAACAAATCACCAAACAAAATTTACAACACTGTCTTTAGGTGCCCTTTGAAAAAATGGGCGCACTCCCGGGTGCCCCCCCCCCGACATAATGGCCCTAGTTGCGCCACTGTGCATAAGTCCGTTAATTAGGATCAAGTCATCTGAATGTTTTCTGTTGGTTCTTTTCCTCAGAGTGGAGGCACTTTGCCGAAAATCAGGCCCAGAGCTGGCGGAATATGGCTGTGCAGTGGATCACCAACTCTCACCGAATCCTCGTGTCGCACTACGAGAACCTGCAAGAAAATACGTACGAGGAGCTCGCCAAGATTGTGCGGTTCCTGGACGTGCCAGTCCAGACGCAGCGCATTCTATGTGCAATCCAGGAGTACCCGTCTTCGAAGGCGACCGGCGTTTCGCTTGGAAACCATGGGAGAAAAACACGTGTCTATCTAACAAAGGACCCATTCCCTCCCGATGTTCGGAAATTGGTGGATGAAAACATCAAACAAGTTAATACAACACTCATAGAGTATAAACTCAACCCTCTACCCAGAGATTACTCTGTCGATGTCTTCTAAGCTTATATCAGTATCTTTCTTTGATTAAGACAACGCTCCATGAGTGCTATCCACTTATTTATATACTGTGACAATTTATTATCTTATGTCGACATATAGCGGAGATTAAGGCGACTTACCACTAGAATCATCTCTCCAAATCGACTCCCCAAAGTCGATATAACAACTTGAGATGTATTATCCCGAAAGGTCAACTTACCGAAGACGACATGACAACTACTCATGTACCATCTCGCCAAGTCGACTTGCCTAAGTAATAATGATGACTTGTGCACATCTGTTGACTTGCCAAAGTCGACTTAAAGAAGTTAGCAAGACAACTTGTCGGATTGTATGATCGCCAAGTCGACTTCTCGATAAGTAGAGATGACGACTTGTCCACATCTATTATCTCGTCGTCTACCCAGTGAAGCCTGAATGACAACTTGTACACTCCTCTTATCTTCCCAAGTCGATTTCACTAAGTTGGCTTAACGAATGACCGAAAAATTAACTTGCCAATGTGACACACTAATCAGTGGGTGAGGACAAGATGCTACGACCTGTAGCGTCAGCACGTATGTTGAGTCCCTATGGGGACTATGGACCGTGCGTGCATATAAAATTTAATGGTTGTGGAATTGCGCATGTGTAATTCTAGCTGACGACACATATCGGTGGTGACCCAAGTGAGGGATTTGTACTGTCATTTCCCTTAAAGACCTCGTTTGTGAATAAATTGTCAAGAATCTATCAAATGGGGAGGGATATTTAATACCTTCTGTGTGAAATATACCTCCGGAAAAGAATCAAAGACGCGGAAAGAGTAAATTTTACGACAAAGGATAAATATGAAAAATTGAAGGTTTTTTAAAGTCTAAATTTGGATCTAATTTTCACAATTTCGCTAGGTTTACCTTCAAATAACCGCGATGCCATATAAAAGACTGATAACTCCACGAATAAAAGACAAGATGTAGACAAGTCGTTTTGTCAACTGCGGGAAGTTGACTTGGCAAAATAATTCAGCTCGACAAGTCGTCATCCAGACTTTGTTAAGAAGAATTGGCAAGGTAAGAGATGTGGGTAACAGTGTTTAACTCGTAGACTTGGGGAGATAAATCATCTCGACAAGTTGTTTTGTCGACTTCGTTAAGTTGACTTGGCAAAACAAAAGATTTGCAGAAGTCAATATTCCTTCGGCAAGTCGACTTGGCAAGAGCATGCATCTCGACAAGTTGTCATACCGACTTTTGGAAGTCGATTTGGAGAGTTTCTTTTGGTGGGACGTCGCCTTACTCTCTGCTACATGTCGACATGCCGTGATGAACTTTCGAAGTATATTTAATACGTGGCGGAGCGCAGTAGTTTAATCATTGTTGAAAAGATAAATATTTCGTAACTTATGGTTGGTGTTGAAGCAGAGGCATATTTGTTCTACAGAAATGCAAAAAAACAGGCAAAAATCATGTGTCGGTTCAGCAGTTACATTCCTGTTTATTTCAGCATTTTTCTAACTGTGGACATCTTTGTAAATAATTACTCAAAAATTTCAATTGTTTTTAGAATCAATTGTAATGAGTTCTCGAGGCTTATCAGTCTTTTCAGAACCATACAAAATATGTAGGTTGTGTAAAATCATGCATAACTGCAATATGCAGGACGAACCTGCTGTAAAGATATAGGCCTAAGTCTAGGTGTTGGTTTATTTTCCAGAAATTTTGGAAATTGTTTACTTTGGAAAAAAAGGCCCGTAACTTCGCTTAATATCTCGGTAAAAACGATTAGGTATCAAAAATGTTACACATATAACATTTAGCGTTAAACCTGCGTAGTTTCTTTGTATATGGAATAGTTGGGAATAAACTTTCATTTGGGGATTTGTTTACCATATTAACATTTGCCTAAATTGTCTGGTAAAAGCATTTAGAAGAAGAAACAACTCTCAAAGGTGCAAAGTAACGCAACACAAGAATAAATCATATCCTAAAAACACATTTTATATTCAATAGCTGAAAACGAAATTGATGTTTAAAAACACAGAAAAGTTTTTAAATAAAGTAAAGAGTTACATACATGTAACACAAACAGAGACAAGTCTTTCAACAGAGACTTTTCATTGGGACTGGCAGGGATCTCTTTCAATTGATACATTTTTTATTATTATTATTTCTAGTTTATTAAAAACACAATGCATTTGCCCACAGGCTAAATTGCTACACTGTTTACAATTTATAAAGAACACCTAACTCCAGTTAAGTGTTCTTTTTAAATTGTAAACAATCACACACAATTGTAACAAAATGAATAACAAATAAGAACAAGTACATACCATTTTAAAATGCTAATAAACAAAAGCATGATTTAAAACGTAAAAGAAAGGGTTATATGTGATTCAAAATACTGACAAAGTAGGGTATTGGACTACGTTTATATCTGATTGTTATGCACTTGATTACGGAAAGTTTGTTCGAATTTTTGAAATGATATTACACGCTAGAACTTCTGGGTTGAGGCAACCACTGTCGGAACAAGCCAGAACATTTGAGTTCAGTAGCAAAGTCAACCCACAGTCCGATCATGGAGGGAGACCAAATTGCACTTCAGAAGGGTATGTTCGTATAACCCGGGCCAAGATAATTTTAAGGGCACGCTTTTGAATACTCTCTAATTTGTTAATTTGTGCGCTAGTTAAATAAGCATTCCAAACGGGCATTGCATATTCCGTTAGTGGTGGTATATATCCCTTATACATAATTAATAAGTCATCAAGAATAAGTGGAATTTTTTTTAGCAATTTAAGCATATGAATCTTATTGTTAGCTCTGCGATAAATCTTGTCAACCTGTTTGTCCCATCTAAGATCTGAGCTGATTAAAACACCGAGAATTGTAACACAATCAACTGTGTGGAGATCAGCAGAGAAAATATGTAAAGGAGGAAATTGTGGAATATTTTTCATAAAGCAAAGTCATGCAAGCACATTTATCTGGGTTGACTTTCATATTAGTGTTAAGTTGGTGTAGCACCTCCGACCAGGGACGCACCGCTGAACTGGAGTAAGCAGCAATTTTTGAGTGTATACCCGTCTTCCCATAGCATGTCTGATTGGGATAGTTGGTTGACTTTTGATGTCTGAAGATGATTTAAGCTCGTATAATGTTTTGTGACAGCTCGAAGACGTTGACGGTTCATCACTTCTTGGGTCAGGATATGATGAAATGTCCACAAAGGCAGTAATATCCTTGGGTGGGTCATGGCCGGACAGACAAAGACTTGTGTAACCATGTTTCGACAATTTCTGCTGTGGTATGCTGGAATGTTTGAAGCCTGTAGAACGCAGGTGTATCACAACGGGGCATGTGCTCCGAACAAAAAAAAAAGATGGCCGAATGAGATGACGTGGTTTCCCGATGAAAAATCGGATTCAGGGGTGTGGTTAAAATATCCACAACAGTTACATCCAGTGATTTACATATGGGGTGACAACAGAACAGCAGGAGTCCAATGTAAGTTCTCAGTGGGATTTGCAGGCAGGAATTGGGTCAAGTTGGACACGCACAGGTCTATGGTTTGTCACTATTGGTCTTTATTCCTTGTGACTCCCATCCACAAACATGCATGCGGTCAACAAGAACAGTAAAAACATAAACCACGTTGCTATATACTAAACTATAATAACGCCATTAAAAAAACCATGCGAATTCTCATACAAGGTTATTTATCACAGCTATCTAAATAATAATCAGAGTCAGCCTAAAGGGCTACAGAACTAAATAAGAATGTGTTGAAAAGAAGCAGGACTCTCAGACTGCAGTCCAATCCACGAGAAATCCCAAAAAACAATGTTCTCTACATGTATATAGCGAGAACCCATGCACATGCACAAGTAAATTCACACGGCATTCCAACGTAACCTGTGCATAACACGTGCAAACTTGCTGCAGAAATTCACTAACTTTAATCCCAATAATCGCCTTGAATGACTCTGAAATATAAAGCCAAATTCTTACCACTTTTCCCCTTCCCCACTGAGGTTACGATTACATCGGTGAGATGACTACATCCTATCTTTAGGGTAAGGGATTGTTATGAATCTGCACGGTACGTGGTCTAGAAATTTCGATCAAAGTGAAAGTTGCATCTACTCCGCTACCAGGCCCGCGCAAGGGCGCCACCAGTCGGATTGATACTGCCGAAACTTACATCCAAGACATCCTAACAGTAGGGCTAATATCATGCTAATACTAACTCCAGTGACAGCCATGTTTGTACAGTGTGATGGGTACACATTCATAAAAGTTCACTGTATATTCACACAAAACTTCACTTGAAAACGTAGTTTCCAACATCGACAACACCAAATAGCCACCAAAACCGTGACAATGAAATACGAGCTCGGATGTCTGTTATATCTTAGGTAGCGTAAACCACAGAAATAATGGAACGAACTCACCGCGTGTATAACTGTCAAACTGTGACTAGCGGGCTGCCATCTTGGAACCCTTTTCTTTATTCAACGTGTAGCTCATGTCGTTCACATGACATCTCCCCCTTCTGGAATAGAAATAAACTTTACAAAACACATTTATAATACACAGGTTTGAGGTTGAGAGTCCAGTGAGTCACAAGAGTTCTGAGTGTTTGCAAAGTCCAGGATTAGCCTCTAGCGTCCAATGCTCTTCTTTCAGGCTGGTTTCTAGAGTTCATACATGTATATTGATTCAGAAGACATGTATTGAGATAGATGTGATTGACAGACATAAGCCAATTTTAGCCGAGTATGAGTGATTTAGTTATCAGTCACATGGGAAGAGTTCAGAGTTCTAGTACATGATGTAGTCTTTCTGCCATGCCGGTGTTTTTCTTGTTCGCTCAGGTCTCCCTTGCTGTTGGTTGGTATGTGGGTTATGTTGAACTGGGTCCTGTTGAATCTCAAAATCCAGGCCGGTGGTGGTTGTGGTATCCGGACGATGTGGCGCCGATTTCGCCGATAGTCTGCCCCATTGACTCGCACGATGTACGAACGTGGTGTGTCTGCTCTGCTTACAACCTCTCCAACTGGACCAAGCTTTCCCTTGGTTCGGATCCTCACCCGGGTGCCTATTTCTAGTTGATCCAATGGTTTGGCACCATGCCTCTGGTTGAAGTAGACTTCTCCTTTCAACTTGGATTTAGCATCTGCTTGTTTCAGCTTTGCCTGGTTGATTGGTTTCTGAAGGAGATTCTTGGGCAACATCAGTAGGGTAGTACGTAACTCTCGGCCAAGCATCAGACTTGCTGGACTGACGCCAAGACTTGGAAGTGGGGTTGCCCGGTAGGTCATGAGAGCTCGTATTGGATCTGGTTGGCGCAAGGTGCTCTTGGCTACATGGACAGCTTTTTCTGCCTGCCCGTTTGCTTGAGGATAGTGAGGACTCGTTGTAACGTGGTTGAAACCAAACTCTTTACCAAATCGTTGAAACTCTCCCAGGAACTGTGGTCCATTATCTGAAACAATGACCTCAGGGATTCCATATCGTGCAGATGTGGTTTTCAGGAAGTTGACGACTGCCAAGGCCGTTGGCTTTACAAGGTGATGTATTTCGATCCATCGTGAGTAGTAATCAACGATCACTAAGTACACCTTCCCTCCCACGTCTGCAAAATCACATGCAATTCGTTGCCATGCTCGTTGCGGTAAAGGTGTAGATATCAGGGGTTCTGCCTTCTGTGCTGGTTGCTTTTCAATGCAGAACTGACACTGTTGAATGTGCTGTGCGATGTCAGTTCCGATTCCAGGCCACCATATTGCTTGATTTGCCCGGAGTCGTGTCTTGGTCACCCCATGGTGACCGTCGTGGAGTTTTTCCAACATTTCTGCCTGCATCTTCTGTGGGATGATGATGCGGTCCCCATATGTCAGTATGCCGTTAGTCTGGCTTATCTTGTCTTGTTCATCCCAGTATTGCTTGACTGCAGGTTTCATGTCCTTGGCGTACTTTGGCCAGCCATCTTTCACGTAGGATGATACACGTAACAATACGTGATCTTGCTGTGTTTCATCTGCAATTTCTGCAAGTTTAGCATCTGAGGCTGGCCACTGGCTGGTCACCATGTTCACGTGTGCTGCAACTTCTGCGGCAAGATCATCTCTGTAAGTGGCCATCTGGTCTGCATGCACTGGAGCTCTGGACAAGGTATCTGCAATGGCCAGTGTCTTGCCTGGTGTGTAGACGGCAGTGCAGTCGAATTTCATGAGGTGCATCAATAAGCGCTGGCATCTCAGTGGTGCATCACAGAGATCTTTGGAATTGATTAAAGAAACCAGGGGTTTGTGATCGGTTTGTAGTGTCACATGAAGCCCCCTGATGTAGAAGTAGAATCTTTCACAGGCCCAAACGCTAGCTAACAACTCTTTCTCGATTTGGGCATATTTCCTTTCAGCAGGATTTAGGGTACGAGAACAGTACGCCACTGGTTTCCACGTCTCATCTTCTTGCTGCTGCAGCAAGCATCCACCGAGCCCGTAGCTACTGGCATCCGCACTGACCATGGTGGTTTTAGTGGGATCATAGAAGGCCAGTGTTGGCGATCTGGTGAGGAGTGTCTTCAGTTGCCAAAATGCAGTCTTTTGTTGTGACCCCCACAGCCACACAACGTTATCTTTTAGAAGGTCAGTGATCGGGGCTGCGACCGATGCTGCATTTGGGATGAAGCGGGACAACCAATTGACCATGCCCATAAGCCTCTTCACTTCATCCTTGGATGTTGGTGGGGGCATCTCAACGATTGCTGTGATTTTTGTAGGATCAGCATGTACACCATTCTTGTCAAGCTGAAGACCAAGGAAGGTGACTCTTTCTTGGGAAATCTTTGATTTCTCCTTATTCAATCGCAGGCCAGCTTTCTGCAGGATTTGGATGACATGACGCACTCGTAGATCGTGCTCTGCCTGTGTTCGGCCGGTAATGAGGATGTCATCCATGTACACCACAACTCCATCAAGATTCACAAGAAGGTCGCACATAATACCTTGATACAACTCTGGTGCTGATGTAATGCCAAAAGGGAGGCGTGTAAAACAGAAACGCCCGAATGGAGT